CGAAGATCAGGGGTTGCGTGTGCCCCGAGAAAATGTGACTAGTAGTATGATTACGTGATTTCACGATGCTATGCATACCCATGGTGAAATTGAGCAGCCTCATGGACAAATGAAAGACAACGAAAAGAGATAATGCGAAAAAAGAGGTGCACTGAAACGCGATCCGTCGAATGCCACGAAAAACAGCAGTGCATAGATTGTATAAACTATTGTAACAACGGGATTTCCATCTAACGCGCTCATTGCCCTGCTGGACGCTGGGGCAGGTGTGTGTGTGTAGGAGGCACCCATCACGGCGAAAGTAGATAGGATAGCTGTCGCTACAACGAGCGACAGCTGATAGATGTAACTGTCGTCAGACGTGTGCGTCCACGGGCGGAAACAGAGCGCAAACACCGCACACTTGATACTACACCTGCTGTGCGCTGGTGAGAGAGCTGTTGTGTGGTAACGAGTGCGAGATTTTCACCCGCCGGTTACCTATCCCCCCCCACCCCCGTCCACATCCCGATTTCGTGGAACATACCCACCCCCCGATACTGTTGGTGAACCCCTTGTTCTCTTTTCTTTTTCAGTGCTGCTCGGCACGAGCTGTGCCAGCGAAACAGCAAAACATACAAGTCAGTTCTCGTCACCTAGCGCACCAATCGTCATGGCACCCCTTCGAGCGTGTGCTCCATTGCGATATCTAGGGGCGTGACAATTGTGTTGGGCATGGGTGCTGTGTGTGGGAAGAACTCCATGGCGGCGTGGAATCCGATCGATTTTCTTTTTTTTTGGCCCGGCCGGGCACACACAGCAGTCGGCATCGCCAGGCGAAAGCGCCAACCCATCGCCACGATGCTCTCGCCACATACAGCACCCATGCCCAACACAACTGTCCCGTCCCGAGAAACCACAATGGAGCACACGCTCGAAGTGGTGCGATGGCGATCAGCGTCCTAGGTTTCGAGACCTGATGTTGTGCTGTGCTCATGTTGCTGGAAGTTGAACGCGTCGGTCAACAAAAATGGGCGACATCAACAGCCTCACACCACAGAGAGTCCAGCGGCATCGAGCCCAGATGCTGTCGCCCGCTGCGCGTATGTGTCGCCCGTTACCCGACGCTGTCTGCTGTGCTTGTGCTGTCTGCTGTGTGGTGTCGCCCGCAGTGCGTGTGTCTCTGTTGTACAGAGTGCAATCCGCTGTGTGCTCCGAAAAAAAAAAGGGACGGTATACTGACCATCACGTTGTAGTCTAAAATCAAGTCATGTAGTCTAAAACCTAGATAAAGCGAACAGACTGCTGTACATACTTTTTTTTCTGGATGGAGCCCTATGTTGCGGCGATACCTCAGGCGAGATTAGGAATCTCGCTTCGCTCGAATAAAAAGAGGTCGACAAAATATTCAAAATCTAACAATTACTTCAAGGCCGAGCAAGTCTTAAGCACTGATTTGTTCGGAGATTCTTTTTTGCTCTCTCTCTCGGCAGGGGATGGCCTGCACGGGAAAATGATCCAGGTCCAAGCAACCTTCTTAACGGTATGCATATTTTTTTCTCAGCGGAACAAAAGGGACGATTCAAGTTTTTGTGGGTCACAACATGCTTCAGTTCACGGTTTTGGCTCGTGTGCCAGCAACAAGACGCCGAACGCCCTGTTTTTTGGTCGACTTGTGGGTGTAGTCGGCCAAAGGCTCCTCTCTGGCATGCGTTGTGGACTGATTACACTCGGGGCAACTAGAAAAAAAGCAACGTCCAAAAAAGTCAACACCGCAAACACACCTCGGTTCACGTTTACAGGCTGTGTGCAATCAATACTGGACAATGCGCTCTGTTCTCTGGGACGCGAGCAGAGCGCATGTGTATGACCACATGCCATTGGCTGCAGTTGGTGGATGTCATCGGCCTAAAGCCTCCCTCTGGCATGCGTTTGTGGCTGGTAGCGGGTGACACACGGAGCCAACACCCGGCGGAACAAGAAAAAGTCCAAAAAGTCAATACCTCAACACACTTTGGTTCACGTTTGCAGGCCGTGTGCAATCAAAACTGGACTATACGCTCTGTTTCTGGGACTCGAGCAGAGGGTATGTGTAGACCACACGCCATTCATTGGCTGCAGTTTGTGGATGTCGACGGCCTAAAGCCTCTCTCTGAATGCGTTTTTGACTGGTCACACATGCAGCAGGCACAAAAACGGCTCTTGTCGGCCCAAAGGCAAGAACGTCAGCAGAGCAATGTGGCAGGGTGGACGTTTTCGGCTCGTGTGCGGCCAACACGACGAAGAACGCCCTGAATTGTAGATACCTGCAAAGGGTTTGTTCATGATCTCATGATAATGGCCAGCAGAGGGTGTAGTTCCTCGTTCTGGCACGATCGGGGTGTGACCCCCCCATTTCTAACGTGCAAAATATCAGCGGATCCAACTTAGAAAATTTGCTCACTCGCCAGCTGGAATCCTATAGGAAATATTCGGCCATTTGGAATTTGGGCTGTAGGAATTGGCCATTTTCCTCCGCGTATGCGTAAGACGCCGAAATAATTTTTTGGGCTAAGGAAAAGGACCCCCCCCAAAAATCCCGAAAAAATCAGTGCTTGAGACTCGGTCACAAACTATCAGAAAAGAAAAGAAAAAAAAAGGAAGACAAGCTCGATTCGGACTCCTGTTTTTTGCAGACATCGTCCATCTCATATTCTATCAGACTAACTTCCAGACGCAACAAAAAGTGTCGACATGGCGGTCCTGTAGTATGACAGTACTTTTTTGGCGGTACCAGTACAGTGGTACTTTTTCGATGGTACTGCAATACGGCGGTTCTTTTTATGCCGTTCCCGGTACTTCATTTTTTGGTGGTACTTATTCGGCGGTTACGCAATATGACATTTTTCGGCGGAAGGCGGTATGGCCTTCGGCGGTATGGCCTTCGGCGGTTCCCTGGTACCACCGAAATGTGGCGGTAAGTATGGCCAGTACCGAGACCGCCCACCACGGCGGGAACCCCCCCCCCGGGGATTTTCCCGAGGTGTACCCTGGGAAAATGTGCCAAGTCGGGAGAGAATTACGTTGATTTGTTTGCATTCAGAACCTTTTGGTGTTTTGTATGTGTTGGTGTGTTCCCTGCTGGGCAATCTTGTGTGTGATCAGGGACCACTGTGTGCTGTGTGTCATCACGTCATCACCCGAGTGATAGTAGCATGAATTCCGTGATTACATGCGGCCTAACCTCGGGAGGGTGGTATCTTGTGTACCCTGGGTGATACTTCTGCTTAGCGTTGATTAAAAATGTTAGCACCGGGTGTTGTATGCTGTAAGGGGTGCCTTGTCTTGTGTGGGTGTGTTATCTTGTGTCGTATACGGTAGTCACACCCTCCCACGGTAACCCGGAGGACGTGGAGGCCGAAAAGGCCCCCACGTCCGGGGCTAATACGTACATACATGCAATGCATTAGAGACGCGATGTACGTGCGAGAGATGTCACCGTATCCGGTGCGTTGTATCTAGCTCGGGCGAGGCTGGCCGCGCATTTTTTAATTGTCTAGTCTGCCGCTCTCAGACTGCAGTACACGCACGTGCGTGCGTGACTGCGTGACTTATCGTGGCAACTACATGATTTTCATTTTCGGCCGTCCTCGGTAATTTCTAATCTCTCGTATTTTTCCCGCACTTGTCTGATCATTCATTACCCCCAAACCGCTTCCAACAAAACTGCGGGTATCACGCGAACGTCGGGTGGGACCGTCAGGGATTCGAACCCCAGCTCATATGTCGTCTTTTCTTTTCCATATTTTCACTGCTCTCACCCCTCATGTCCTCTACACCTGAATGATACGTTGTACCTGGTACGTCTAGGTACAGATTTGTAATACTTCCCAAGGAAGTCAGGAATTTTATGTACGTGGGTCAGTGTCGAACACCATGTCAAGAAGTAAATACAGACGTCAGCATTGTGTGTGAACAGCTGCAGCTGCTGCAACCTATAACTTATGCGGCGACAGCTGTTTCTGAAGTCGAACAGCAGTAGTTATCAGCACATGCCAACAGCTGAGCGTTGGCGCGGCAGCTCTCAGCGGCTGTGGAGCAAGCTTGTGTGTGTGGGCGGGGCACACGAGAGAGGAAGAGCGTAGATAGACAGAACGTTGCGGCAAAAAGCGAGAGAGGGCAGAATCGGAAGGGAGTGTGTGCGCGGGGCACTTATTCTTGTTTGTGATGTGTGCTCTTCTACCGCGGTCTTCATCGGAACCCAAGTTTTTATTTGCTGACCAAGGTTGCATGATGCTGAGCAACTATTGCTGTTCTCTGTACCATTGATTTAGCTACATGTGTGTTTCAAGTGAAACGTTCAAATACCGCCTTTTCGCCAGCGTACTTCGAAGGGCCGAGTTGTGGTTTTCATTTGTAGATATCCAGTGTTGCCTCAGTCAAATTGATATTTAGTGCAAATGACAGAAAACTGTACACAAGGTAATGATTCGGGAGTAGGCCCCACGCTGAATGGCCACCACCACCGAGTACCGGTTTCTGGCGGCTCAAGCGGAGACGCTACCGTGACCGGGCTTCTCGAGTGGGCTATTCCCGTTTTCTGTCGCACTGGTCTCGGTTTACTGCTGCCGCAAACAGTAAGCCTGCACTTACCATTTAGATTGATGCGACTGTTGGGCCTCTCAACTCCGGATGAGCTCACGACGCTGTCGAAGAAATGGTTGATGCAGCAAGACACAGTATAAAAGTACATTTACCCGTTTCCCGCATGCCGGTTTCAACGAGGCGACCTTGCGGCTTTGTCGGGCAATAGTGAATAGAGCAAGACACAGCAGTATGTTTCACGTTTATGCAGACCGTCCCGAGAGACATACAATTGTACTCTAAATTGGACCGGCGGCATGCTTTGTCTCGCGAAGAGGGGGCTCCGACGCTGGCCATCTGCTGACCGAATCTCCCTGCCGTTCGCGAACCCCCCCTTTGCCCGCAGTGCTGTGTTTGAGCATGTGCAGGAAGTGGTCCAGCATAAATTGCCAGACTGCATGGTCTTACCGGTCGGATCTTTCCCTCTCAAGACCTACTTACCTTATGCCGACGTGGATATGGTAATGTTTCTGCCTCCGAAGGCCACCTCGACCAGCGGAGGTCCAGTGGGAGGGGTTGGAGCGGAAAGTTCTGGAAAGGAGGGGCGCAAGGACCATGAGCGAGAGGAGGCGACGGACGCCCACTCCGGAGGCGATGACGGCAAGGGTACGGACGCGATACACACACCGGCGCTGATTGCTGCCACCATGGCGCTGTGCAATGTGGCCATGCAGGCCAGTTCCAAGCGAGGGTCTCCAGGGCACAGCCGATCTTGGCCTCCCTTGCTCGAGACTGCGAAACCCGAGATCCGCAACGTGTCGCTTATCAACGCGCGAACGCCAATCGTTACAATGGTCGTTGGGAACGTGGTTGTCGATCTCACGGAGAACCAAGGGGGGAGCGTAGCGGCGTCGGCTTTGCTTGAGGAAGCGGACAACCTCATTCAGCGGAATCACCTCTTCAAGCGAAGTTTGTTACTCCTCAAGGCATGGGCATGGTGTGAGACACCTCGATTAGTTGGGAATCGTGTCCTGGGCGCCCGAAAGGGAGGCCTGACAAGCTATGGCCTCTCCGTGATGGTGCTGCACTTGTTCGCGGCGAGTGCCTCTGCAGATGCCCTCGTACACCCGCTCGACGTGTTGATACGTTTTTTTGAGGTGTACTCGGAGTTCGACTGGGCTCGATATTGCCTTACTCTGGACGGACCGGTTCCTTTGGAGTCCGTTCGCGGATCACACCCTTACGAGGGTTGGCACGGCAACGGCGGCACAAGTTCTAGGTTTGAACCCCTCGTGAAGAAGGTTCTGGCGGAATTGTTTCGGGTGCCCGAGAAGGATCGTGAGAAAGAGAGGGAGAAGGCGAAAGAGAAGGATAAAGATAAAGCCGGGCGCCGCGGGCGGCGAGCGAGCAGGGTTGGACGATTGTCTGACAGGCACGCCGAAGATGCGTTGCCGGAGACACCGCGTTTTGCGGCGGGGGCGATGCCGCACTTTCCCAGGCGAGACTGTAACATCCAAGACCCTCTCAACGCGCTCAATAACCTCGGGCATTCCGTGACGAAGAACAATCTCAAGGCGCTGAAGCGGGCGCTTCAACAGGGGCAGAAGAAGCTGGAGGCCTGGCACCTCGTGTCGCACCCTTCGCCGTCTCGCTCCCACCCCAAGAGCGATGGAGCGCTGCGAAGACCACGTGAGACGGAGGTGTCGGGGACGGGGCGGTCGCAAGGAGGGCGCAGCGTAGAGGAAAGGCGTGACACTCGGCTGTTTCAGGCGGGGGTAGGGGTGGGAAGTGAAAGGGCGGAAGCGGAAGCCACGAGACGGGAGGGGGAGCACCGTGGGATGGCTGGCGGCGGTAATGCTCCGGGCCCTCAAGCTTCGCTTGAGCTCGCCGCGCCGGTGCTGGAACAGTTCAAGTCTGCTCCAGGTGTCGTTCACCATCTCGGTCCACCGGCGGCGGCTCAGTTAGTGCTCCTTCCACCTTTCCCCCTGCACGCTCAGCATCCTGGTGCGAACGTGATTGTTGGCCCGTCCTTACCAACCCTTGTTCCTGGTGCCCATCCGTTGGTGGCGGCACCACGACACAACGCCGTTCTTGCTTTTCCACGGCCTGTCATGCAGGCAGCCCCCCAACAGCACCCATATGTGCACCAAGCGCAACGGTACATCCTTCCGCAGATGCAGCCGGTTGTACCACGGCCAAACTCGGCGGTATTGGTTCCGACACCAGTGGTCCAAGCACACGCCCACTTTCCGCCACAGTGGCAACAGCTGCAAAGGGTGTTTCCGGGGCCGCACCCAGGCGGTCATCAGCTTGGTCCTGACCAGCAGAGATTTTCGGTAGTGAACGGGAACGTGTCGCCGGAGGGGTGGAGAGATCAGGCGATGGCCCGCTCGGACGTGTGCATAGTTGGGCCGGAAATAGCGACGAGTCACCAGTCAGCGCCCCGATGTGAGGAGGCGACGGAACCCCCCGCGGAGAAAGAAAAGTGCAGGGGCGGGCGACGGAAACGTCAGGAAGAAACTCACGACCAGGTAATGCAAGGACCGGTGCTCCCTTGGGATTTGCCGTCCTTCGTCAATGCCTCTCCAACTTCGTCCACGGCGTCCTTGTCCGATTTCGTGGAGGACGGCAGCAAGGATGGGCAGGATTGTCGGTTGCACTATGAGAGTGGCGCTGAAGATGATGTGCACGGCGGGCTAGTGAAGGAGAGCCTCTTCGATTCGTCCTTGGGTGATTCCGACCACAGCGATACGATGGCGGACACGCGACATCAAAAGCGTGGCGAAGGGCAGAAGGCGGGGATGAAAAGGGCGAGCGGAAACTTGTGGGCGAACTGGTTCCTGCGTGAGTTCTTCCCGGAATGCTGTCAACGCTACGGTTCGGGTGACGGTTTCCGCGACGATCTCCTTGATCACCCGTGCCAGCGCAAGAGCAGACTCCAGGAGGCCGGCTCTCTTCCGCCGAGGCGACCCGATGCTCCGGATGTGCTGCAAGGTGCATCTGGGGAAGTCTGGAAATCCTTGACGGTTATCGGTGGAATGATGCGCGAAATCGCCGCGCAGACGAACGACCGTAGCACGAAGGAAGAATCGGCACAGCCCCGAACAGAGACCAATCGTGCAGTGATCGGGGCAGAGGGAAAAGGTGGCGGGCGTGGGTTAGGGCGTTCGCGTGCTCATGTGGGGCATCAGGCGCGAGTCGAGCCGCGCGTGGTTCAGGCCCGGCGGGCAGCTCTTGCTTCTACCTGCTCGAGTGGAGACCGTTCCGCCCCGTCGGCGAACACGGGGGTTGATTCACGTGGGCTGGAGGTGTTGCGACCAAACCGGGTGTCTGACGAAGTGGAAGATGAGAATCGGTCACAGCGGAGGGACGGGGGCAGGCCGACCGCCGCCACAGCACGGGTGAGTGCCAACCACGTCTGCGCCGGTTCTCTGCTGCAACGTACAGCGCGCGCCGTCATCATATTGTGTACGGTGATGTCGTGCCGTGTCAGGGGCACTTGAAGGAGAGCGCGTGCGTGTTGGTGCAAATGTCTATGGTTGTTTGGCAAGCATTTTTTTGTTGGTGCAAATGTCGTGGATTCGTAAAGCACAACTACGGTGGTACCTGTGTGGCCACATCATGCATGCATCGTCAAGGCGTGGTTTATTTTTGCCACCAATACCTTCCGTCACTTTGCTTGTGTTTTTCTCTCACCTTGGCGACGTGCGTACGTACGTGTATCCGTATCCCTGTCTCCCCTCGTGACCCTGGCAGCCGCAGGTGCTCGTTGACGACGAGACGGGTTACACTACCAGCGAAGAGCAAGGCGATCGGGAATGTTCTACTTCATGCGGTGGAGAATCTCGAGAAGACGGAAGCGTTCCTTCGCCTCTAGTCGAAGCTCCATCTTTGGCTAAGCTTTTCCCCGTCTCCTCCTCGACACAGACGCTGAACACGGCTTCGACTGGCGAAGGGGGGGTTGAGGTTGGCGCCCAGTGCTGTGCTCCCGACTCCATTGATCAAGGGGTGCAATGCGTGCTTCCTTCGCCCAAGTTGAGGGTCTCGTGTGCATCGCAGTGTGAACGGACTAGGACATCGATTTCGACAGGAGTGCAGTGCGTCATCCCGGCGCCGACAACGGTGGTGTCTCGGGCCAGTCAGAGCTGCTCCAGGGCCGTTAGGCAGGCATCGAGCGGGGTTCAATGTTCTCTGCTAGTAGCAGCAGCTGAGGGTGAGGGCGATGCAGTGGGCAAGGGCCCCCGCGGTGGACATCCTTCGCCGAGCTCGCCCCATGCAGGTGTGGCGACTGTCGGGATTGAAGACATCATGGCACCCGCCTTCGAGGACACGTTCGAAGAACCACGCGATTCGAAGGAAGATTTAGAAAGAGCTCTGCCTCAGTCTCCGGGGTCAGGTAAGATGGCACGTGTCGTCCCCGCGGTGGCCCTGAGCGACTCTTCTACTGGAGGCTGCGGGGGTGATGGAGTACCAGCCCCCAGAAGCAAGAAAAGGCGAAAGAAGGCCAAAGCAGGGTTTGCAGCGGGAAGATCAGCTGCTGCGAAAAGTGTGATGGACCGGCCGTCTGAGCCTTGGTCGAATGCACAAGGCGTTCTGGTGGGCGGGTGGACGCGTTGGCTGGTGAGCATGGCGGCCTTCTGTGGGGTCGTGGGTCTCGTGCTCGCGGCAGCAGGGGGAGCGGGGAGGGGCGCGGGAGATGCGAGCTGGCAGGGCGGCGATCGGCTGACACCGCGCGTTGTGCACGAGGGCCAGACAAAGAGAGCTCAACCCCCTGTGTGGGTGGTAGCTGGGAGGAGTCTCACCCTTGGAGACGTGCTTACGTCTCGAGATTCTGCTTTTATGGCGAACGACACCGGCGGGGTCCAGTGGTTCCGGGGCGGGAACGTGCTTCCAGGGCAAACCAGGTTGGTGGAGATGCGATTGTGCTCGAACATGTCTAGACATGTTCGACCGCTTCTGTGGACGTATATGCACAAGTCCCCGAGTCTTTGTGGGATTTTTTGCTGTTTTTGGTTCGTGCGTAAGGTTGGTTTGTCCTCGTTGGTAAACCGATTTTAAACTGCAGTTGGCCACAGAGGGTTCTGTTTTAACTTCACCCGGCGTGTACCTCCCAGTGACGCAAGGGCTTCAGCGAACTCCTCACGCACCCACCATAGTACCTCATGTCCCGGTTTCTCGTTTGCTTCGACACCATGGCCGCTATGTAGTACGCATCTCGTTATCCTGCACTTAATTGCCCGATTTTGTTGCCCGTGCTTGCTGTTGGTAATCCGTATTTCTGTCGCGCGTTTTCGCTGATGCAATGTTCCATTTCACGCAAGCAGGCCATTCCTGACGATTTCAGAAGTCAGCTTGGAGGACGAGGGCACGTACGCCTGCTTTACTGTCGAGGAGTCTGGTAGAATAGGTAGCACACCTTTGTGGGAGGAGGTGAGGCCAATTCTGTGATCTCATGTGTTCGATTTTCCACCCCAAATTCCGCGACTCTGAATGTTGCCCAGGAAGCTTGTGATGCTATCATCGTCGAATTATTATAAATAGTGTTGCACGTCGAAACGTGTTTGGGTTTCAATCGATGCGGGGCTAAAAATAATCGAATTTCGATTCGATATCGATTACTAATCAATGTAGAAGCGACAACGATCACCCACAGGGCATTTCGAGGCCACGCGAGACGAACATCCAGACGTATTTTCTGACACGGGAACGAGCAGCGAAAACATGTGCATCCAGGCATGTTTCCAGGACTGCCAACGTCACGGCAGTGTCAGTGTATGCTCGTATGCCCCCAGCAAGGGCAAACGTACCCGCCAAGGTTGTATTCCGAAACGTACATTGCTGATTGTCCCCGACACTTTTCTGTGGATGGAGAGTGGATTCGTTATGTTTAGAAGAATGAAAGGCTCATCGAGATATCGAAGAGTTGTTCGATATGCATAGGATGTTCGATTAACCGAAAGTTCCGATTCGATCTGCAAAACTACGAATTTAACATTTGATTGAAAGTTAACCGACACCTGTTGGTGTTGTCTTGTTTTTCCCTCATTTGCCTCGACGTTCGTTTTGGTGACGTCCACGCAGGCCACGGTGCGGATCAGCGAACCGCCGTTGGTGGAGTCTCAGCTCCAAACACAACGTCTCGCGCGCGGAGAAATGCTTGCCATCGTTGCCACTGCAAGCGGAGTGCCCCAGCCAGAATACCAATGGCGGCGAAATGGCGTGCCTATTCCAGGAGCAACCCGCCCCATGCTGGTGAAGCACGGTGTGTCTGAAGCTGACATGGGCACCTACACTTGTGACGTGTACAACGTAGCGGGGAGGGTGCAGTGGGAAGAAATGGCCGTGATACTGCGCGAAGATAGATCCAAGCGATAAGAACAGCGGGGTTACATTGTACCGATTGACACGTCATTCATGGATGACTGAAAAATGTAAAAGAGCAGGTTGCGTGTAGGTTTAAGCATTTCAAAGATGGGGTTGGCTGCTCCCTTCCCCTGTCAGTAGGGATGAGCTAATCTGGGGTATGTGGTGAACGGCCAGAGAGTCATTTTATTTAGCACTCTTTGTTGCTAGTGTACATGAGCTAGAATCAATTGATCCCATTTGCTTACTATTTACGCTTGTGGTGCATTAGTCGAGTGATGTGTCTTGTGGTGATGGATGCGGAGGCGGTGTGTGGTCGTGCAGTAGGTGGAGCATCGAGGTAGAGATACCCGTGGCATAGCTCCACTTGTGTTTTCGGTGGTCTTCTTGGCGAAAATATGTTAACTACAGTTTGGTGTTGATTTTCAACCTTTCAGCGGTACCGACTACAGTATTGTAGGTAGTCTTTCGCTACCAAGCACCTCTGTCACAAAGCTGTTTGGAGGTACGGGTGCACCATGGTGAGATCTCGTTCGCTCGTGTTCTAATTAATGAGCATCGTATGATACCGCAGATACATGATACGTTGAGGTACTTCGTATATTCGTAGTATTTTGGCTATCTGTGGCACATGGCTGTCTGGGGCACAGCCAGCCTCAGCAGTGGCATGTTCTTCTATCTTCGCTTCCGGGAGGTGGTCGGTATGGCGGGTCGGGTCGTTTCTTCCACATCTTACAGGCACTTGTGCTCTCTGTTCTTGCATACCACACGATTTTCATTTCACTCGTTCTCTTTGCTCGAAGGAACATCTTGGCGATGGGTCCTGGTGCGGTAGACTTCCGTACGCGCCACCACTTGAAGCACTCGACCATCACAAAATAAACGCTGTTGCTCATTATTTCAGGTTCCTCTGCGTGCACGAAAAGCTCGATGTTGGTCGTTGTCCCTCACACAAGAAAATAATAAGCTAGCCTATGGCAATAACCGCAGCTCTTACTTGTAGGCAACAGTAGTAGTAGTAGTAATAAACGTGGCGGCGCGTATTATGCAGGAGGAGCGTTGCCCCACCTATGATGAGATGGTGGGTTGGTCGTGGTCACATGCGGTTTGACCCCCAAGTTTAGGTGCAACAGCATATATAATGAGCATATGGCGTTCCCGCGCTCCTCCGGCGTCTTCGTCCAATCGTTACGTATGCATAGCATGGTATGTACTACTACAGCACCAGTGTGCGATCCGGACTCACTCGCTCGTCCCAACTAAAGACAATTGTTCGGAAGCCCGAGAGGGATTTCTGTCGCCGAAATTCTCAAAACCAAGATTATATTCAAAACGACCGCACTTTTTTCGACCCCACTTTCTGGTTTTTCGCTTGGTTTTAGAGTTGGCAATATCCGGTCTCTTCTCTAAAAGCAAGTTCGATGTTTCTCGAGATTCCATCGACAGATCTTCGTGTGGGTTGGAAGAGAGGTGTCCCTCCTGGCCCGGTCCGCCCCTCCTGCAAGTTTGGTGCAAAAACTTGTCTTGTGTCAGTTTGAGAAGATATGGAATATTGTTCAGTTGTTGTTTCATGGTACTCTGAATATTGCCGATTGCTCGCTATAATGAATGCACCGGGACCTGTGCTGCCGTAGACATACATGCTGTGCACATCAGGGAGGAGGGGATGGATGATGCAATCAAATCCATGTCTGTGGCGTCACGTCCCTGTCCCCACCGCCCGTGGAGTACAACATACAAAAAGTCTATAGTCTTCTTCTCTTTCTCGCGGACCCCAAATCCGAGCGTCTCTCTTTGTGCTACATATAATATACGACAACACGCAATGTGTCTGGACCTCGACCTCGACACTGAAAATATCATGAATCGGTGAATACTACTGCTGTATCAGGCCGGGGCTAAACAAAGACGATGACTATCACTATGCATAGACTACTGTATGCATATATGCATACCAATAGTATAGTCATACATACAGCAGTTTGGGCTAATCAGATAATAATAATAATTGGCAAGTTTGGAACGAACTGGAAGGGGGGTCAGAGGACGGGGAGGCGCGCAGGAGGGGGGGGGTCCATCATTGGATCTTGTGTTGGATGCCGGTGGCCTGGTGGCACATCATCACATCATGTAGGGGGTAGGATCCACGCATATGTGCATCTGGGGCTCGATTAGCAGGAGCAGCAGCAGCAAACAAACTCGTGGACCGCGCTGCGGTGCGAACGCGAGGGAATCTCGCCTACAATTGTAGTTTGCTGTCGTTGAGAAGCACGCTGGATATATTATTATTTCTGTTGTTGGGCAACGGGATTTGAGAGAATGCCAAACCGGCTCAGCGGAGCGGAGGTCGGCGGCACCGGTTCTGCAAGTACAACAGTCGGGCACGACAGAGGCGCAAGCCTGGATGGTAAGCTGCTTGTGTTGGTAGGAATAATGTCCGAACTTGATACGCCTCTTCTCTATCTGAACATAGTTGTCTCCCTTGCCGCCACATGTATCAAGAAGCTGGACGCGAAGATGATGCTGGGGACCACCATCAAGAGGACGAGCAGTCGGTGGCTAGATCGACGTCTTACAGTGGGGAACCTTTGGGTGCGGGTATCACTGCTACGACACACACCGAGGGTGCCCCAGTCTTGACATCGACCAGTCGAGAAATTATCTTGGAGCACAGCGAGCGGACCATGCCGCTTGACAAAGAGGATGTGCAGGAAGGCATGAACGACAATGGGGCAGACAAGGTTGCAATCCACAGTCCACCAAGGTCCCGCTCCCCGAAATGGGGGATGCCGAGTATGCCAGGTCTCAAAAACACCCTAAATGTCACGCTCGGACGGGCCACGAATCTGATCACAAAGGGAGGACCAACATCGAACGATAGGTCGGAGGACACGGCTCCTCAGACGGAGAACGTGCAAGTGGTAGACGAACTGCAATCGATTTTCGAAGATGAACCCGAACCTCAAGTGACATACGGGAAACCACCTCCCGACAAGCGAGCACCGCAAGACAAGAAGCAGGCGAGTCGCGGCGCGATGCAAGGAATACAATCAATGAAGGCGAGTCTGCAAGCGAGGCTGCGTGGAGTGAGTAGCAGCGAGAAGCTATTCGCGGAGAACGAAAACAGACTGAGCGAGGAAGGTGAGAGAACAGAGGCAGAAGGGTCCCACCATGAAGAGTGTTCGTCAGTCGAGAGTGGTACACCGCCTGTTGTGTTAAACAGCAAGGGCGTGGAACCCAACGGTGCAACGAAGGAATCAGATAAACCTGGCTTCTCGGAAGAGCAACCAATAATACAGGAGAACACACAGAATCCGTCGTCGAACGACACAAACGTTCCAGTGGCATCGTCGACTGACGGCGATGTGCGATTCGAGCGACGCTACTCATCTCCACTCAAGTCCCTCCTTCAAGACGCTACTGGTCATGCTCACGAAAATGTAGAAGAGAAGCAAGACGAAGAAGGAAATATAGAGGGTTACGAGGTTTCAACGGATACCATTGGGGACGAATATCACGCGAAAGGGCCTGTTGCTCAGGCCGTGTCGGCACTGGATACTGCCATTTCTGCCGCACGGCTCAAGTCGAAGTTGTCCTCACCAAGCTTGGCCGCCACCTTAAAGGGGTTCGGATGGAACAGGGCGAAGAAAGAGGCCGTCGCAAGCGTACCTTCTCCGCCTTCTGCTTCGATGGGTAGCCCCGTCGGTATCATTCCCTCAACTGGGTCTGCAGGAGAGGAAGGGGCGAGCGCACCGACAACCCATGAACATACAGGTGGTGACGGAACAAACGATCCTAACAACCTGGCTTCTACCGTGCAGGTAGCCGTTTTTCGAGCGAGCAACCTTCCAGAAAGACTCGGAACAAAGTTTGGGCGGCAGAAAAAAAATAGCACTCTAGGCAGGTTCGTCCGGCTGAAGCTGTGTGGTGTTAGTGCCTCCACACCAACCGTTCAAGGACAGGGGGCTGAGTTCAGATGGGGCACAAAACAAGAAGGATACTTGTTGGAAATGGTGGTTCCTCCAGATAGTCTTCCGGCTTCTGGAGTCGGGTCATCGAAAATCATGATTGAGGTCTGGAACAAGGCGAGTGAAGAGCTTGGCAAAGATGTTTTGATGGGAAAATCGGAGATCCTAGTCGCCGAATGGCTTGGGAAAAAAGGCTGGGCTAGTTTAGATCCGAAGCAAAGTCAGGGCGGCCGTGTAAAGCTGCGTGTAGCGTTGAAGCCCTGTCGAAATTTGGATGGTTCACACGACGTCGCAGTGCAAGATAGTGGTGCTTCCGACTCTGAAGAAAGACTGGTACATGTGGAAGTCAACCCAACGAGCCCCGGCCCTGACGCGACCAATATTCTGCAACAAGTGGAGGAAGAGCAACAGCAGGGTGAAACTGCAGCAAAGACAACGGTACCTATCACTGAGCGTGGCGAGGAAAGTTCAGAACGGCTTCCGCTCATTGTTGGCTCGTTCCCGAACGAGGGCCAAGAGAACTCCACGGTTTCTGCAGACAGGACACTCGGGGAACAGACGATGGCGGCAACGCTTAATGTTGGCGCCTCAGACGGAGAAATGGTTCAGGAAATCGACATCGGAAATTCTGTCGTTCAACAAGATGGAGGAGCTGCGCTTAGCGCTAGCCAAGACCTTGTGCAGGCTTCCGTGGCACCCACAGCGAATGAAAAAAGTTCCGAAGAAGAGGAGGTATCACCAGCGGTGCCAGAAAAGGCGCCCAATGGTCCATCTTCAAACGCACTGGGTGGGCTGTCAACCTTGGAAAATCACGCAACGGAGACTGAGGTGAATCGAAGAGAAGATGTGCTCCACAATGTACTAGTGAGACAAGATGAGTTCAACACGGCCCCTCATAACGAAGTCCTGGGAGGACAAGAAGCAGAACCGCGAGGCACCTGCGTGGACTCCCTTCCCATCATTCACGCGCCCATGGAACTCCAAGCGAACGGACACACGCCTGGAGTTGGTGACATTTCTGAATTTTCAGATGGTGACAGTGCAGACGTATATGTTGAGAAAAAAGACAGGAATGTCCAATTGTCCTCCGAGGCGAGAGACAAACTCGCCGCCCTCGACTTGGCCGGCGGCCCAGCGACTGATTCGGATGTGGCCACCACAGCGGTTACTTCAAACCGACGTGGTCATACCACCAACGAAAAATCGGCGGTGCTCACTATCCCCCCCAGAGAAACTCTTGAATCGAGTGGTCACGGGTCGTGTGCTCTGCGTCAAACGGAGCCTGTTACTCAAGAGCAGCACGACAGCGACGGGAAGTCTCACGAACAGGACCGAAGTCAAGAAATAGACACCAGGCCCCGCCGAAATACAGAAAAACTTCAAAGCAACGGAGACAACGGAGAGGGTACCGCGAGCGAGATGTTGGCCACAATGCTTCGGGAAACGCCAAGTGAACAAATGGAGAGTGCACCTCCCCGCAGTGTCCAGCTGCAAGACCACGTGTCAATCGGATCAAATCGAGCCAGAAAACGTATTGAAAGGGCACGCGAGATTATCCGGCGTCGTCGCGCGGTGATGTCTAGTTCGGCGCCGGACAGGGATCGGCGGAGTGCCCCGTGTGGTCGCCAAATGGTGACGTCAGCGCAAACACCAGCCGCGACAGCAATCCAGAGTGGTTTTCGTGGCTGGATCGCAAGGCGAAGGCTTCGGCTACGGCAACGATTGGCTGTCCGAATCCAGGCGGCATATCGGGGGCATACGAAACGAAGAGAGTTTATTGCTCTCACGGTTCGAGCTAGGCGTGCAAAAGGCGAGGAAGAACGAGCACGGACACGACGATCAAGGATGACATATATCACACAGGTATGTTGCGCACCTACATATATCTGTCGCGTTTGCTCAGTTCGTTTTCAGATGCTTTTGCTGTTATGGACACGTGGGTGCGACATCAATACAATGGGCCGTTGCCGCAGAAAGCACACAAGACTTGTGTATCTCCTCAATCCACTTGTAATTTGGAGTTACTTGGCCGGAATCGCCTCGCTACGACATGCCTCGAAATGAAGTCGTTTTGTATTGTAGTTTGAGCTCATGTGTCTCTTGCTTGTGCTTCTTTCACGCCCACGTAGGAACTTAACCTTCTCCTCAAGACTCCTGCTGAACACTGCTTGAGGATCGACGAGCTTCGTGCTGAGGCCAGTGCCAGGCACATCCAGCGTGTGTGGAGATGCCACAGTCAAGGGTATAGCTGCCCGAGCACCGGAGCCAGTGTGAGGGACAGCGCCCGCCCAATAGGTCTAGGAAAAACGTTCTTCACGGCCCCGGAGATTTCTTCTAGAAGGTGGGGTGCATTTAGGATGTGCTGCCGGACGGTTTTTGTAGGACGCTCTGTACACGAGAGCGTTGCAGCTTTCGACCACGGGCACTCGAATTCGTAAGCCTTGTGCACGACATTCCTCTCATTCTTTCTCACCCTTGACTTCTCCGCTAATCATGCATCAAAACCGTTGTTTCGTCAGCGACCATATTCCAACGTTGGACATCACTTTGGAGGCTCTTGGACGCCGGGTGGCGAGTCGACAGCAAGCGAAGGAACATCTTAGGGATACAAAGCAGGAAAGATCAGGAGGGATGACTAACAAGATGGCACAAGACAGAGTAAGTTTGCAAATTGCCGGCTGAAGCAGCTGACGCAGTAGCCGGTTCGGGTCGAGTACATGCAGAATCAAAGAGTACGATATCGGTAGAGATGCAAGACGCACCCTTCCTTCCTTGCTGAACGGTTTCGCTCAGTACTAGAATGTGTTCTTTTCATATCAAAACTCACTCTCGCGAGCCTCTAATGCCACAAACTGTTCCAACTCATCTGCTCAAACCCCAGGCATGGCAGCTGACAGCTGCTTTCAACCAATCACACACCGGCCGGTGTTCTGCTGCAAAGCGCCGGAGCACGAGATTGGCAAATTTCAGGAAACTTCAGGATCAGCTCCTGCGACCGCCCAAACTAAATAGCACAGGAAGAACTAGTGTCAGTGCAAAGCGCCGCGAAGGTTCCCAAAGGCACCAGATGGTGATGGACACAGCGGTAGACAAGAACTGGTATGAGACAGAGGACCCAGCTCAGCGAGACCGGGCGCAACGGGCGCACAAGCTCGCGTTGGCAGCCGCCAAAGACAGTGGAATAAAGGTTGGACGTTGGCGGAGTCTTCATATGGTTCATATTCATTCGTATCACCAAGGAGTTTATGGCACGCCATAGACCATGTTCCCTCCAGCATGCCGCAAAGATCAAATGCTGGTGTTCCAAATCACCCGAATCTTCTCATACCGTGGCAGTAAATTGACGTGGAGCCCTTTTGAAACACGCACGGCACTATTCCGTACGGAAACGGACACGTCATATTTTTAGTTTGAGTTCCAAGTCGACGGCGTGGTGTGACAAGTACTGTAGTGCGTAGTACGTCCTTATGGCCGACGGGTGCAAGTGTACTACGCTTCGCGATACTTCAGCAAGTATTCCTTCATCTAACAAAATCTTACCTAGCGAGCTTCGCCCACACCCTATGACGAAGACATTCCAAACAAAATCCCCTTTTCACCCTCGATTTCCACACTCACTCTTGGTTAGCCGTGGGCTACTAGTCTTCCATCAGACGTTGGGGGCTACGACGACCTGCTCGACATCCGCCGCTTGGTACCAGCGTGGCCCACACACACTGTAGGTGGGCGAGGTGCTCTCGACTTCGTGGATGGATTCATTCGCAATCAACACACAAGCGATGGTGGTTCTGGCACCGGTGACCGCAAGTTTGACAGCGACGAAGCATCACTCTGGTGGTACGTGTACAGCACGAACGGGGCGCAAACGTCAGGCCTACAGCAAGAGGTGAGCATTACGTTCGAATGGGAAGGAAAAGAAGCGCACCCTTCACGATGTACCTATGAAGGGGTTTCACTCACACCCTAGACATCCGCCCGTATGCTTACGGCGCCACGTTTTGTATGCCCATACAACACAGCCATCGTGTACACAATATCCCCTCTTGAATCGTGCAAATATCCTTGTTCTGCAGCAGGATGGAGTATTTGTTGAGCTCCTGGAGAGAGCGAAGACCACACCGAAGCGAAGGAAGGAACACGCCGAGCGAGACGAGCAGCAACACCAACTAATGGTGGCCCGGAAGAGGCAGATCATCATCGACAAGGTACGGGTACCTTCAACCTTCAACCACGCACACGCCTATCTCCACGATATCCTAGGTACTCTTGGCGGGTCGTGAACACTGCATGTATCTACAGTAATCACACGCATGTCACTCCAACCAACTGATTTTTCGACCAGATGATCCACCGACGGAAAGTCGCCAGCTGCCCAAGTCTATCGTGTTTCAAGCAGCGCGTGACGCTAGCTCAGCGGCGTGCGGCAATAACCATCCAGGCATTCATTCGGGGTTGCCTTGAGCGCAAACAAGCGTCATTGCTGCGTGCTGAGGCGAGGGTCTTCGGCGCCTTACAGGTACCAATAAATATGGCAAGCCGACGTTAATTATGGCAAGCCAACCTTTAACACGTTTTATGTATACAACGTTTAGGAAAAGTAGGCTCTATTTAGAACGATTGGTATTCGCCGAGTAGGGAATATAGGAATATAGCTATTATGCCGGTGGTAACATACATACCATGGTACCCTGTTACGTACATTCGAGAGCACTGGTTACCTTGTAAATCGGCCAACACCCCACCGACAATCTCTCTCCCTCTGCCTTGATACATACTATTCAGGTCCTCCTGACCGAACTTCGCCAGCCGGAGTTGGAGGCAGAGGACACCACCCGACCTCTGCAAACGTTGGGCGTCATCCTCGCCGATCACAGCATGCCAACCTGCAGGAGTCGCTCGCCGCGGCGTCTACTGCGCATGCGTGACGAATAGAGGGAACCTGCGTGGTTATGCAGTGTTGTGGCGATCGAAATACCGGTGGTCAAGGGCAGCTTATTCTCTCTATGTGGAGACCACCTTGATAAAGGTACAATCTCCCCAACGTCTGTCGAGGACGAAACCCTCTTTTCCACAATGGCGTCGACGAAGAGATCTGTGGTGAAGTTAAGCGGGGTTCGGTCAGGCTAATACTACGGTGGGGGACCCCCCGTATCACAGCCACCACACACGTTCGTAACACACGCACACACACAGTACTCGAACTCGAAACTTCTGACAATGCGTGGCGGAAGTGGTGCACCCGCACACACGCACAGAAGATTGTTGGAAAAAAGAAAGGTGGTTCTACTCGCCGCCAGCCGGTCGAGTTCCGGTTACCCCAAGAAGACTTCTCTTGCCTAGCAAACAAGAAGAAGTCTCGAAAAAGGGGGGGGTAATGTGGAGACCACCTTGATAAAGGTACAATCTCCCCAACGTCTGTCGAGGACGAAACCCTCTTTTCCACATCTACACTACTGTTAAATAGTTATTCACGACCTACACACACACCTACCTACAACCTGCTGTATGAATGTATAGTATGTCTCTCTCGGCGATGTAGTGTCTTCGGAGGACCGTCTGTGTGTGGTTGAAGGAATAGTCTTCTCGTGTAGGAAAAGGTTTTACGTTGTCAATCCCAACGTCGAAAACGACCAACATAATCAGCGACCGGTGGTCAGCGGTAATAAATTATATACATACGAGGATGGACACAGGACACTCTGGACTTACTTACAGTCTTCTTCCCGGATGTACAGGGGAGGAGAGCGAGAAACGCAGCCAGTCCCCAAGGGGTATCTAGATATTTAGTGTTACTCTGCCAATAGGTGATACTGAGGTCACCCCCCACTCACCACACAACGATCACCCTCTCTTACAGCAGCAGTGCAACGTATCTTTGTCTGGGATGTACATGGAGCGATAGATTATGGCAACAACGGCAGTGTTCTATAATAATAAATAGTTTACGCCTCATGGTCCGATCTTGACGTCGTGGCTAGGACAATGAACCAATGTATTCGACCCAGCTACAGCATACCAAAGCCCCCTCTAGATAGCCGCCTGTCGGATACGCGGATCTTTGAGACTGTGGCGGGGGACCGTCCGATGAAAATGCTCCCCCCCAATTCCTCTTTCCTCGACTGGCGCGCCCCCTCGGCTCTGCTGCCCGCGCGATCGTACCACCAGCAGCAGGCTGCGACAGGTGTGTGTTGTGCCTCGAGCTCTCTCGTCGCGTGCCGCCGGATCAAAGGGTATATATCACAACCTAAAGCGAGAAAGGTAAGCTTCCACCTTCCGTCAGCGGCTGTCAACCATTGCTAGAATCGGACGCTCGTGGGGCTACAAAAGTCTGCTGCTGTCTGCTGTTGGCAGCATCTGCGCCTGTTTTAGGGCTGGCAGATCCAGGGGGGGCTCCTCCATTCCCCCCTTTTGTCGACCTGACCTCGATGATAGGTCCAAGGGTAAACATGTTTCCAAAACCAGGGTATAGAAAATATCGGTTCTCGCTTTCGCTCTGCTTTCTCGATATGTATCGATGACACCTCGGCTATATTTGAATTTTCGTCAGGCAAAACCATGAGCGACGCTGCTGCTTCTACACCCAAGCCTGAGGGCGACGACAAGAGCGATGCCTCCACCATCACGATTCGCGTACGAGATCAGGTGTGTGCCGAATGTGTGTACTCCAGTCATTACATCACGTCAGGTTTGTTATTTTTATCGATGGTGGTGTGTACGTGGTACGTGTACCCTCGCTGCTACATTCATGTGGAGACGAAGGTGCTATTCAAAAAATCAAAAAAATTGCATTTTGAAAACAGGTCCAATCCTTCCACAACTCTCTAGCTCCGTGCCACCCATTCGCGTGCTTGTGTGACCATTTTCTCTCGTCCTCGTGGGTGTAATTACTGCTGTATTCTACATACTTCATATTTTCTAACCTACAGCAGTTGTAATGCGCACACCCATCCCTGCTGTATGCATATGCATATATCCTGCGGGCTCATGGGAGCACAGATTCCTCAACAAGGGGTATGCAAGATGGCAATAAGAGCAGGCAGTATGGCAAGTATTCCCCTCCGGAGTAGGCTCATGAGAGCAGTGTCATGTGTCACAAGGGATGATGCAAGCTGAAAATAAAAGTAGGCAGCAGGACCCACAGCTTGTTGCGAGCTGCAGTGTGACGTTTCCCGTTTTCCAAGCTCAGCACGTTGCACAACTGGCGTGTGTTTGACTCCAAGAGCCTAGCGAACCTCAACGAACCAAAAAGAAAAAGACAACCAATCTGTACCATACAGAAGTAGTCATACTCAATATCTCTCGCTGCAGTGGCGATGCAAATTATCCCGCGGAAGGTACTCTGTAGCAGACGCGGCAGAGCTGTCGGTGCATCCTTCAAGCCGCACCAACCAACTGAAGGTCCGACGGTCAGCTCGGTTTCGACGAAACGCTTGTTGAGGTACGCTGAGTCCGCCTCTCGCTGTTGGAATGCTGCCGTGTCGTTCATCTGGACTGACTCATGATCGCGACCCTCCTTGCGCAATGCCGGTATCCCGATAGGCCTTCTTTGCCCATATGTACAGCCTGTCGCGAAGCGCTGAATGTCTACTACGGATGTACGTTCTTTCCTCGGACCGCACCAAACGCAATCAAGCCGATTTTGAGACCTTGTTTGAGACGGATTGCAGGTGCTTGGAAGTATTGCAAGGTTGTGTCTTATATGCACAGATCCTTTTTTCTCAAGTATATAAAGTGTAATTTATGATTCAGGACAAAAAACCGTTTCCTACAGGATCAGAACACATGTCCTGCTGAACATTTTTTATTCACATTTTCCAAGCGGTCATGCGTTCGGAAATGATGGCAATTTTTGATAGGACGGCGCGTTTGTTTTTTCGTTTGGAAATGCACACACATCGACAAAACCATAGCTTGCGCAGCGAGTACTGGTCGTAGCGAGCTCGTGGAGGGCTCCGAGCAACCCTTGGAGCCATGCGCTGCCATCCCAACCGTTGATATGTGGTTGCCGTGTGACCAGGTGCGCTCAAAGCAAGATGTTGGCCAGCTGGCGGACTCACCGCTTGTTCAGACCCGCAAGACCAGACCCGCAAAAGAGACGCCGCATTATCCAACCCACATATCGATGAACAAAATGTTCATTTTCTCGCTCGCTAGATCACCCCTCCTGCTGAAACTTGCGAGGATGTCAGCTCCATCAACTGCTGTCTGTCGGGGGCTTTGTCATTGCTGTTGATTCGGTCAGCGGAGAGGGATAGCTAAAAAGCCACCGATGCACGGTGAGCAACCTGTACAGCAGGGAGCGGCATGTCAGTTTTCGAACAGCAGTCGACTCTCGCCCACTTTGTTTGTCAGCCTCCCAGCGCGTCGCGTTGTCTGAAAACCACAGCACAAGAAGCACCATACTCACAACTATGGGCGGGCGGGTGGCTTTGTGGTCTCTGTTTGTTCGGTCAGTGAATAGGGGTCGCTACAATCAACTCTGTGATGGCGCAAAAACTGTTAGAATGCTGTGTGTTCGAGGGGGGGGTTTTGTTGGAACAGCAGTTGGTCCTCTCGCCAACTTCAATTCTCAACTTACCGGCGCCTCGTGGTCTGTAACAACCACCCCACAAGAGGCACCAATAGCACAGCTACGCGCGGGTGGCTTTACTATTGCTGTTGTGTTTCAGCCATTGCACAGAGATCCCCGTGAAACCAAACCGTTGATGACGTGGTACAGTAGCAAAAGTGGAAAAATCAAACCACCGCCAGCAATGCCAAAAAAGATCGACTGCACTTACAAGAAGCGTCTTGATAGACACGATGCTCCCATTTTCCGAATCGGAAATTATACGTTTTTGAATTAGATTTTCTGTTCCTACGAGAAACCGCCTAATGCAAGCCTTTTCTCCACATGAACGACTAAAAAACATTTCGGCAACGAGCTTGTCCGCGGGTGAAGCATACCACCATATTCGAAATACTCTCTGTTTCTGTACTCGCATGCGGTCTTTGTTAATTTCCCCAATTTTAATCATGCGCATGTTTGAACAGCAGTCTCTCACCAAGTATTTTGTTTGCGGTGCCACCAGCTTACAGGAGGCGATATTCAAACTTACAGATCTCATCTGAGCCCAGGCCTTACTTTTGCAATGCGTTCTCCTCCACCCCCTAGAGCGTGTGGTATGCCGTGTGGCACCAATTGACGAAATGCATATAATAGGCACAGATTTCTTGTCAGTCTTATCTGATTGATCTATATTCGTTGTTGGCCAACTCCCTTCGCTCCTTCCTGCTTCACATCAGACTGGAGAGGAAACATACTTCAAGGTGAAGAAGACTACTCGAATGGAGAAGGTGTTCACCACGTACGCTTCGCGGAAGGGTGTGAGCGTGTCTGCCTTGCGATTCCTTCTTGATGGCTCACGTGTCGGTGCGGAAGACACCCCCACGTCGTTGGAGCTTGAAGACCAAGACCAGATTGACTGCATGCTGGAGCAGCAAGGCGGTTGAGCCGACCCTGTCGGGTCGGAGTTGGAACTGGGTTGTTGTGCGGGACCGATGTTTTTCCGTATTGGTAGTTTCTGGGGCTTGGTTCGTGGCCCCACGTACTCTCAGTTTCGGCAGTATTTTTTTCGGCCCAGAAAACGGAGGTATCTGAGAGCGCGATTAGAGTTGAGCAGGCAAGACTGAAACGCGGATGCCCGCTGCTTACAGCTGATAGAACGGGTTGCGGCATGCCACCCAGCATAGGTGTAGAATGTAGATTGAACCAACGTGCACCTTGTCAGCCCTGATTAAGCTCGTTTGACAAGGGTAAGGTAACGCTCTGCAACTTGCGGCTGCCATCGTGCAGGTTGCCGTTGGGAAGAGTACTGGTTGGATATGTGCGAGGAACGGTCAATTTGCAACGGTCGTGGGTTCATGGTCTCCCCTGAGAGCGAGCTAGAAATCTGCCTTCGTGTCCGTGGTTCGATCCCGCTATCGTTGTCGTTGCTTTTGCGTAGTTAGGTGTACGCGCACCAGCGCCACGCAGTACTTTTGGAATCCCAGAGGCAGGTGGTGTATTGGGACACATTTGTAAAATATGAATGGACTCTAATATTCGGTCGTGTCCTAAGTCCCAAGAGGATTGTGGGCGACAGACAAAGTCAATCACGCTTTCCACGCGACCCAGGCGCCTTTGTTCTAGACGCAACAAGCTTCGGTTTCGCTCCCTGCGTGTATCCTTTGGCGGTTCTCTATAAAAAAAAACAATAGTGCATGGAGTACGCCGGCGAGGGAGTATCCACAGGGGAGGGGGCTCCGGATGGAGCAGGAAGCCTCACCAAATCCAATCCGCTCCGACGAATACATTAGTTAGTGGTACCCATGGCAGCACTCAGACAAGTTAGTTTATGGTGCGTAGGTCGTATGCGTTTCACCATGAAACAACGACCACTACTTAGATATGGGTATCCGAGGAACGATCTTGCCTGCTGCGTCTAATCAAGGTATTTCGCATGTCCTTAAGCCTGCTCAATGTTGTTTTTGCGTCTTGGAAGTGTGGCATCGCTTGGTATTCCACAGAATGTTGCCCTGGCCGTGCAGTCCTCTCATGGCGACTATGCGTCATGTTGACACCCGTCGACATTTGTTGGCGAGCAGTTCGAAAAGAGCCAAGCCTCCTTCGAGCACGAGCAACGGCAAATCCTCCGCCGTCCATGTCCTTTGGATGGGAAGGCCCGTCCAATGGTCGTTGTCGGATGGTATTATCCAACACGCGCAGGTCACGAGTCCGCGCGGCGTTTTCCATAAACGCGTCCTCCGCACCAGGGTTGGGTAGACTAGATTGATATGCTTGCGACTGAGGTGCCGAGTGTAGCATGGGTGCCAGCGGCACCCTTCCGATGGTTGGGTCATCGATAGGGGCAACATCTGGCGGGACGAAGGTAGCTGTATTGAGCGGAGACGAAACAACGGCCTCCTTGTCGGGCGCAAGTCCTGCTGCATTTTCCAGGGGTGTTTCAAATAATGGAGATGTCCATGCAGACAGCTTCGGAGGATACCAGTGGGAAGACCCCTCATGATCGATTCCTTTCACCCCCGCGCCTACCTCAAAATTAACTTGTTCGTGGGCCGCGGCGTGGGGTGCTCGCCGACTGTAACCGGGACGATCTGCCGTGCTCCCGTGTCCGCACCACCTGTTGCCGGGGTCGTCCTTGAAATCAAGTCCGAGCTCACGGTCAAGCTCAGTGTGAGTGTCCTGCTCCAGGCGAAGTGCCATACCATCGGCCAGTGCTTGCAGAATCTTCTGTGGCGAACTCTCCGAAGAATCTCTGACCTCTTTCTCGGGCGGCTGCTCTGCGGGCTTGCTGGCTACGCTGTCTTCAGTTCCTTGTTCTTTTTCAAGTTCACCGGTGGCGTCCTGCTCGCCGTACACGATGGGTTGCTACGGAATATTTGGAATCGACAAAAAGGGGGGCGGAAAGGCGATCAAGGTAGAAAACAAAGCATCAGGCACGTCGCAAGGCCGCTGGAATAAAGAGTGACAGAGGGTCTGTTGCTCTTGTTTCAAGGGAGCAATACATAGCAAGCCTGTGCTTGCATTGACACCCAAACACCAGATACTACAGTAATTTCTCCGTCTTCTCGAATTCTTCCCAAGATTTTTTTCCGTTACCTCCATGTGCTGTTCGGTGCGATAGCTCCAATAAAAACAATATTCGTCGGCCTCATCGCTACTCCATGCTCCTCCTACTTCGCTTTCTATGCAAGATTTTTTTTGCACCTTGCCGAGTCGCTTTTGCATGCAGAGCATGGCCACTTCAAGCTCTGCTCCGATGCATCGTCTCGTTTCTTGTAGCGTGGTTGTACACCACGGCTGGGCAGCCACGTTCGGGAGTTCTTCGGCTTCACTTGAAGCAAATAAATGCCTTGAAAAATCGTTGTATGTCGTACCCGGCGCATATCGGGGCGCTGGGCCAATTTCTGTGTCGGCACCTTCTGCCATGAGAGTGCCATCTGATTTCACGGCCAGATGGCCTCGATCTCCGGCCGAATCCAAGGGGTTGCCGTTTCTATCAAAGTTGTTGTCCTTCGTATTGTCGGCGTCTCCACCACCCTCTTTGTCATCCTGGTTGGCACTGGATGACGATGAGTCAGTTATGCCAGGCGGTGAAACTGGTGGTGCAATTAGGGCACCGCTCGGGTTTCCAGAGCCTCCTTTCTGCTGACCTGAAGGCCCGTCAATCTGAAGCGCCTGTGGGAAAAGGCGGGACGCGGTTACACTTGGCTGTTTTCGGAAGTACGTGAACTGCACTCAGGTGATGTGTGGACGTCAGTACAGTAGTCGATGGGCCGAATACGTAACGGCTTGGGAGGTCATCACGCACCTCAATTTTCTTTACTTTTTCCTCCACGGTACGAAGAACTCCAGCCATCTGATGAGTGACGGCTTCCATCGATACGTCAGCGTTCTCAAGGAAATAAAATTTACGTGGACCCAAAGCGCTCGGCGGAAGGGCAGGATGTCTGGTGGGCAAGGCTCTGTCCCCGTCTAGAACGTACTGTCGTGGGCTGATACGCCCCACAAACCCTTCAAACATGTTGTCAGCATCTTCTACGCCTATTGTCTCCATGGTTGAGACAGTATCATCCCTCCTGTTGGCCGCATCCTGTAGCATGACATGTTCTTCCCTCACCTGCCACATCAAGCAGTAAGCGACCAATTTAGCCATGCTTGGCATGCACCACACAATTGAGACACTGCCTATTTATGCAGATAGAAAAGCGGTGCGTTTTTAAGATGGGCTTCAGGTAGGGCTCTTACCATGTCTTCCACCCTCTTTGTCTCCGCTTGCCTCCAAGCATCCTTTTCGGCCTCTTCGGCTGTGAGGGCCTCCTTAGCGACCTGTTCTCGAGCTTTCGCCATAAGAGTGAATTCTAGCAGCTTTGCGTCCAAATCGTGGGCTATTTGGACAAGATTGACTGGTAAGCTTTCTCCTAGAACGGGTGGTAGAAAGAAAATCAAGAGGTAGGGATTAGTGATGTCCATTGAAGCACCATTCAAATTGATAGGACACAAGCTCCGAACATTTTACACTTGTGTACGATCCGCGAGGGGCACATCGATACAGGACGCGTCATTTGCGCTTCTCCAGGCTTTAGATTTGTCCCATCTCTACAACTCTGCCTCGTCCACGTGGATTTGCTCGCCGTTAAGTTAATTGCATAGCTTACGGGGCGACAGATGCCCAGAAGACCCTGGTTGTTGCCGCTGGGCGATTCCGCTCCGCAGCTGTTTGAGCACGCCATCAAGATCTGAAGCCACGCCGACGGCGCTGGGAATATTTTCCCAAGTCGCATGCTCGCCGCGTATTAGGTCCAGCTGCTGCTTATCTTGGCCCGACTCGTCCTGAAATAACGGCAGAGACCGACGCTAAGCGTTGGGTGTTTACGTTCGGCGGCATAGTAAACAGGTCGAGATGACAGATAAACGTGTAGCCTGTTTAGCTGATACCCCTACTGCGGGAAGGTCATACCCAAACGGTAGGTTCTATGTTGCATATGTGCAGCAGCTGCAAGTATAGGGAAACGGAGCCGCAAACATTTCTCATCCAGGAGGCTAGAGATATGCCATGTATATTGCGATGAAAAAGAACTGACGGGAGACGAGGACTCACAAGTGTGCCTCCCTTCCTTTACGCAACAGCCCATCATACCATGCTGCTGTTTCGATGGGTGTGTCTTTCAGCAGGAGTACAAGCAATCCATCGCGACGCAGAAGATTAACTTCTCTGCTCACATCTGCTGCTGGCTTTGGCGATGTCACCGATATTTGACCCCGAAGTTCAGCACCCCCAGAGTAACTTCGTGGATCCAGTTCATGAGAATCCTGAAGGTAGAGTTCATGAGTATTGTCTTCACTGTGCGGGGCTCCAGAGGGTCCAAACCCTGCTCTTTTGTGATCCGCGGCAAGAATCAAGCTATTCCTGGGGTAGTACCCAACAGATGAATGGACTGGCATGCGAGATGCCGGCGCCAGACCTGGCGACGGCATCACATGTGGTGGCTTTCGAGAACGATCCGTTCTATTCGCCGCTGTTGAAGTCATGAAGCTCTGGATGTCTCGAGACATAAGCTTGTCAACCCCACTGGCGGCAGAAGGAACGGGCATGGCAGTCTTTTGTTGAGACATACGTGAAGCTGACAGCAGTGTGTAGTACTCTGCCACACGATTGTGATCAAAGGGCATAGCTAGGGATTCCCGCCGAGGCGTTGAGCGCGTCCCCTCTACAGCAGTAGTACTGTACTGCTGTGGTACGGTACCGAGTAACAACTGGGCTCGAGACTTTCTAGACTACTGCTGAATGTAGTCTTTGTGTCAACATGTTTATAGACTACGGCAGTAGACGATATCTCGCAATGACAAGTAGAGGAGTGTTCTTCGTGCTTGCTGTAGTTGGGTGGCTCAAGCAGTTTGGGGCTATGTGTCTAGGATTGCATATGAGGACACGCAGATAATACGAGGGCTGGTGTCCGTCCTACTGCTGTTACGCCGTGCTCGGCGCCCACCCACCTCCGCCGCATCTTCTCGCCTGCGATGGGGAACCGGAGTCGGTCATTCTCAACCGAGTGCTCTCGTGCTACTCGGGCATCGTCGTCCTTCCCTGCTGGGCTCTCTTCGCGTACCCACCACAAATCCTGAAATACGCATGAGGGAGGACATATTCACGGCGGTGTGCGGTGTCCAGGAAGGCGGGATTTGCTGTGACCTCAAATTTACCGGCCCATTTTTTACTTGAGACATTTTGTACTGCTGTACCTTGGCAAAAGACACAAGATTTCGGATATACTTTCGTCCAGCACCTGCTTTCCCCGTTGTTCTCGTTCCTGCCGACTTGTAGGTTTGTTTTCCCGGAAACGCTGGATCATCGAGCGGACAGAGAGCATCGCCCCCTCTCCTAGCTGCATAGCAAGGCCTGGCTGAATCCTGAATCTGCCACCAGCAGGACCAAACCAAAAAAAATGCGGCGGAAACGAGAAAACCAGACCGGCAGACACGCTGCGTGTAGAAACCCTTTGTTGCGGGGATGGGGGACAATTTTCTGTCCCCCTCCCTCTCTCCGCTCTTCACGAAGGCTCTCTGGTCGTGTTGTCTGATTCGAGCACCCGTTCTCTGCGAAACTAGCTTGGACAGAGAGCTTTCGCTTGGCACGTCGCCCGAGAGCAACCATGGGTGAGTTTCCAATGCCCCCGTTTTGCCTGTTGCATCTAACATTTTCGCAGCAATTTGGGATTTCGACGGCCACACGGGCGCTGGTGTGTGTGCACAGCGATTGACGCTATTCCCTGCCCACCCTCATCTCCTTGTTGCTCTTTAATCCATGCCAACATGCGCTCGCCTTCAGGCCTAAATCTCTCGTTCGTGCGATTGGGCGGTCTCTGTATTCTTGTTTTGTATTCGCAGATGAATTAGGAGGGACATCACCTCTCCAATTGCTGCAAGATGACTTTGAGTCTTCGGACCAGGAGATACGTCTGAAGGCGCTCAAGCGTGTTAAGCTGGTTGCGGATGTGCTTGGCCCGGAAGTGACCCGAAGCGAGCTCATTCCTTTCATCAATAGTGAGTGTTTGCTCGAAGCGCCATCCTACGGTCCGAGCCAGGTTGTGGTGCTGGAAAAACAATTGGTTCTTGTGCTCCGCAGCCGGTTAGACTTTCTTCCATATGTTCCATACCACTCAGCGGAGAAAGGAAAACAAGAGCAAAAGGGCAGAGGCGGGCGGGGGCTTCTGCTGTAGGTGGTCATGTTCTTTGCGTCGAAAGGGAATGTCCAAGCTATTCTCCCTGTATAGGGCATACATCCAGCATAGAACGGGTTGCGGTTTTAGGACACAGTTCTAGCTCTGGTGTATCGTTCTGCGATGTGCACTTCTAAAACACAGCAATTGCATTGTCTAAACGTCGTACAATAGGTACATTGTTTTGTAAACCGTTGTGTCTTTCGGGGGGGTATTTCTCTCTCCGCCCTCTGTCATGAGCTACGATCTATATACTTCGTAATCAACAGCAGTATGTACTTCCATTTAGCTCCCATTTCCCGTCCCCTTAGGAAGTTCCTTGGATATTGATCTCCACTCTGCCGATATCAAGTTCGGAAGCACATCACACATCAGCAGATCGTCAGTCCCTAAGAAACACAGCAAGTGGGGGGGGCGATACAAGACGAAGACGATGGTTCGCCGAAGCCTGATTTGTGGTACATTGTAAGTAGGCATATAGGCCAACCGCCGTATTGATGAAGAACGCTGAAGCGCCCGGTCAGGTTGAGACTGTTTCCATAGAGCAGTACCGCCCTGTTGAGGGCAAATAAAGGTCAATAGGTACTGACGTTTGCTGTACGGGTCGTACCATTCGTCACGTCATGGGTGTTGCCACCTCGGCTGTATGCCATGACGGCAGTACGTTTTTCATCAGGTCCCTCCCGCACGAGCCCTGTGATTGTGGATGGCATTCGTCGTCACAGGCACACAGGCGTTCCTGTGGTGGTACGACCAACGACTGAATGCCTATTTCCTTGTGGACAGCGAGAAGAAAAAAAGCATGTGAAAATTGTTGAAGAGGATTCGGTTCGAAACACAGGTCAATCTCAACTCGGCGACGAGAAAGAATACCCACCAAGAACAAATAGTCAGGGTCGACCAAACCCCCCAAGACACGAGATTTACTCAGGTACTTGTGAAGCATGTCCGAACGCCTACTCCCTAGCCCCCCATCCTGCGTGTACCCCATCCCTCGACGAATATGCATGGTACCATGTTTTATCTGGGGAGGGTTGTGTCTTGGTCGTTTTTGTCGGCTCCAACCACCCCCCGTGGGTTTGCTTGAGTCCATGCGCATCACACTGCACGCTCATCGTTGCCCGCTCGAAGAAACGTGTCGCATGTAGTTTCCGTTCAAGTCGTAGCACAACAACAGTACTTCAAGGTTACCGCAGGATGCCTGCTCCCTCCTCCTTTCTATTTCCATTAACCGAGCCTATGTCTCACATGGATTTTTCGGTGCGGTAAATGCGCCACCTTTCTCTCCCGTTGCGGTCTTCCCCTTTCTTCGATTTCCCTCGTATCAGAGACTCGTGGTTGTTGCCTACCGGGTGTGCGTTGGGTAGCTGCTGCCTGATTAGGGTGTTCTGTAGCCTTTTGAATAGAGCTGTCGCCACCTTGTACCGGGGACGACTGGTGTGCACCCATGTCAGCCGCCTTATATCGGGACACATACTGTATGTACATCCGAACATGTTTTTGAATTACTCGCACGCTCCTTCTCTTGCTTCGCCCGACCACGCAAATGCTAGCAAATGTTTTAACACCACCACTAGCTTTACATGTCATGCATACACCTTCCAAATCTACGGTATGTTGTGTTTTCTCGGTTACAAATGTACCCATCGCCTCGTCCACGGTGATAGTAGAAGATGAGATCACTTACTCTCGAGTTGGTTGGCAGCAGGAGTTATGAGCGTGTCCCATCACATAGGACGGATGCAGAAAGAAATCGCACAGCAATGAACTGCTCGGGTTTCGATATCCCATTCATACAACAGGCACGTGATATTGAGCTGAACTGAAGGTTCTTGAGACCTGCAGCATTTTCGTTTGCGAAGAGATCCACGCCTGAATTTTCATGCTTATGCCTCTGCTCTGTTTGTATGCATACCTTGGTATGTGGCGGTTTCAAGGTTATGCGCTGCTGGCCACGGAGGCGAGAGGCCACATGTATTGACCCCCCCCCTACCCCACCCCACGTATTTTCTGTGGGTTCAATCTGTTTTCAGCTATTGTGGAGGATGATGATGAGATTTTGCTTGCCCTCGCCGAAGCTTTAGGGCAGCTCGTGCCCGCGGTGGGAGGCCCGGGCCACGCGGCTCTTCTACTGCCTAGGTGAGCCGAAATTAATCAGTACCAGGTTAAAGTGCCGCTCAGTTAATTGTCTTGAAGAGATACCCTGCAAAACGAGTGGCCTGTATCGCGTGTCGCTCACACAGCGTTAAGAATCATGGTTGGTTGGCAACCTTGAAGAATGAGCTGTGCCTTTACCTTTCCTCCGCAAACAGTCCTGGTAGATGTTCATCGTGGGTTCAGGCGAGAAAGCGGTGTGTGTGTGTGTACAACTCCCCATCCCCACTGTTATGCTACCCAGAATGATGGACACAGCGACCACAATGAAACTTACCCCGGATAGATTTACCCAGGGAGTGTTTCGAAACAAGATCCCCCGTGTTTTCTTGGATTTCCTAACTCGCAATTTCATGCGAAAACGGTCTCACGCCAGGGGGAAAACAGAGGGAACTATGGTATGGTATAGTTCTGTGCTGCTGTGGGTATGGGCTTGAACTGCGAGCTCTGCTGTAGGCCCGCAGAAGATTCGGGACCATCGCGTGGGTGTAGCAGTGACAACGCTTTTAGGGGGCAGACATGCCGCAGATTCTGTTAAACCTAAATTTCTGCCATGAATACGCCCCGCAGCAGTTCCTGGTGTACCAACTGTTGATGGTTCCTGCGTCGTTCGCCTTGTCTCATGCTTAAGGTTATGAAGACCCCATGTACGAACGTCGTTTCTCGATGTGTGCGCTTTTTTGTGAATCTAAGCCATCATGTTGAGTATGGACAACATAGGGTGGTGTGTTGTACGACACGTTGCATGCTGCCCCCGCCCCCCCTTCCCGTGCCTTCATTTTTCCAATTCGGGCAAGGTGAAAAATAGTATACCTTCTTACCCTACACATACCTCCTTCTTTCCTCTCGTCAAGATGCTGAGTTTGTGTGCAGCACGAGAATTGTCATCCGTCATTACGTCGTACTTCGTACGATAGTGCGAGCTGAGCACGTCATTCGTTAATTTGTATGTTCTCCTGTACACTCCTGCTGCCCATGGCAATTTAAATCGTCCAGCTTGGAGAACCTAGCGGCGATGGAGGAGACGGTGGTGCGGGATAAGGCTGTGGAGTCAGCGTGCATGGTTATTGGACTCATGCAAGGCGGTCAGCAAGAGGTGCGATCGGTGGTGCTTGCGCGTTTGGGGTTCGTACTGACGTGCATAGGAAGATCCCGACCACGCTTGTGTGATTTGTTTGTTTGGTTTTTGGTTGCGGTTCACAAGGACGGCTGGGTGATTTGACTTTGCTAACGTGAGGAGTGGGGGGAAATGTCCCTACTTGGCGCGTAGAGCAGCTGGCGTGGAGCTCGCTGAACCCCAAACGGTCGGACGCCGGCCATCAAGGGAATCTTCAAAGCTTTGATAATTTTTAAACCGGATGGTTTCAGGTTTGGATTGCTTGCTGGCTTTTGCTGGTGTACCAAATGTCGGTAACAATGGTGGTCAAACTCCGCCCATGGGTATACGCGAAAAATATTGAAAATGAGATCGGTGGCATGTGTAACATGGAGCACGAAACGTCGTTCGTTCGACACCAAGGGTAGCAAGAAGACTGTTTGCTAAGGTGTAGACTGCTGCATTCAGATTTATTTTATTTCTACTTGGTTCGTTGGGGTTCGCTTGGCCTTTCGAGTCAAGAACAATACAGCTGTGCTAAATAGCTGTTAAGCTTTGGAAACACCACACCTGGCAGCTTAGCTGTGTCCTGCCTTCTTTTTTTATTGCCATCTTGCGTCACCCCTGGATGACACGCTGCTCTCATGATGAGCTCCAGAGGGATCAGTTGTACCTCTCGAAGCATATGCATGGTCGGTATCCTGCGGGGAAGACGGGGGTTTTGGTCATGCCTGATTGACCAAAAGCGAGATATTGTTTTGGGTCCGCGTGGATCTCTTTGGAACGTTCCACACACTCCTCTGCTTTGACTGACAGCTAGTATCGCCGTGTCCCTCGAGATCTCCCTGCTTACGACAACGCAAATCCTTTTTTTTTAGGGTTCGGCGGGGTTATCCGAAATCGGGAATGTAGTTGCCTCTCTTTTGTGTGTTGTTGGCACCCCCCGAACACACACACTTGCCGCGGATCTCTCACACTCAAACCCACTGCGTGTTTCGGGCAAAAACGTTTACGAGAACGCGTTCAAACAGCAGGCTGGAGGTGGCGTCTGTGTTATGGAGAAAGCTGCTGCTAGAAGTCTGGAACGTTTCTGTGGTGACTCGTTCACTGTTATTGTTTTTCGATGTTGTAGTAATTTTGGTGTCTCTGTTTGGCCATATGTTGTTTCGAAAGGCCATGCTGTGGTTCTTGTTGTTACCGCACGTGCCAAAGCAGTCTTCGGTAGTAGGTGGGCTAAAACAATAGTATCGATAGGTGCTTGGTCTTTTGGTACCGAACGGAGGTTTTGTGATTGCGCCGGCATACTTGTTACAGCACAACTCACGTGTATATCGGTAAGAGTATAGAGTTGATACTCGGTTTGGAAAGGGCGGAAAGGTGTTAGGTGCTTGATGGGAATTCCCCAATACAATGTAAGCAACGAACAACGACAACGAGAGCAATGCTGTCGAACTTGTCGGACAGGAACCTTTGGCTTTCTTGCCAAGTTTGTTCGTGGGGCGAGCTCGGGGTTAGGGGGGCGAAACAAGAGAAATGGTCAACAATTGGCCCGGGGTGTTATCAATGTGTACGGGCTTCGCCTTTGGTTCGACCAGTGCTATTTTTGGAACCCTCTCAAAGGATAGGTATTACAGCGGTACAACAGTAGTAATTTCCGTCGCCGACGTCGAGACCCGAGACCTCGGCTGGGCATGTTATGTACATCCTCATGACCATCCTCATGACGGCTGTTGATGGAAGCCTGCTCCCCGAACAGGAATGAGTTGTCACTGTCTTCTCGCGACAGCTTCAAAACAAAGATTTGGTTGAACGCACACAGTGGTTTGCCTGCCGCGGTGGAAAACTAGACATGAACGCTCGTTGTCTCGAAACTCAATTGTTTTTTTTTCTCTAGAAGGTCGATATGGTAGTAACGGCACGGAAGGCATCCACTTACATGACGGCTCGATTCTTGAGCCAAATTTTGCATCGCTTTTGACGTGGGCAATTTCTATTGAGCACAGTGAACTCTTAGGCATCACCAGCAGTCGTAATGAGCATAGCTCATGTGGTGACCTCGTCGATGAGCGCAACGTACAATATACAAGTGGTGCTTTAAGACTTGTTTCTGTTGCCTTTCTCGCGAAAGCCCTCCTGATGTTGCAAGTTTCTGCCGACCGTGATCACTTGAGCAGGTGGCGGACATGGTGACTCGGCTGAGTACAGGAGACTGGTTTACGGCCAAGGTGTCTGCTTGTGGGCTGTTCACTGCAGCTTACAAGCACATCTCAGAGCACGACCAACGCGCGTTGCTGCGTGGACAGGTGTGGGGTGGGACCACAGTATATTGTAAATGATACACTGTATTTAGCTATTTTATTGTTTGGTTATGAACCCGCAAACCCGCAAGCACCCGTAGAGGACCCAGCTTGTCAAGCTTTTGTGATCGAACGCGTTCTGTCAGTCGGCAACTTTAGCTCGCCTATCCTGTTGAAACTGCTGTGATATAGGTACATTTTATTTTTTGCCAGACGAACGACAACAGCTGCTGTAACTCATGCGATGGCTCGTCAGTTGCACTCGCAGCTGTTGGGGGAATTTTTGTTGTCACGATCCTGTCAATGTTTTGCCTGTGATCCCATGGCAAGTTGAAAGCACAGCCTCACTTGACCAATATTCAAGATTTCGGTAACCCCCGACCTCCCCATTTCTGGTGTGGATCTCGGCAGTTTGACGTCCTGGCGAAAGACACAGATACGCCCATGGTCAGGCGGGCCGTAGCGTCCAACGTGGGCAATTTCGCCGGGGTGGTTGAAGGCCACTTGCTTTTGAGCGACGTGGTGCCTGTATTCGAAGCGCTGGCTTCAGATGACCAGGACAACGTTCGTTTACTGGCAGTGGAACAAGCCGGCAAAGTGGCCAAGGCTTTGGTGGATCAAGTGAGTTCTGTTTGAATGCACCTACTAATTTGTTTCTGCACGAATTTCGTCGTGCTTGTGCAGTCTGCTCCAGCGTTGGGAAGCTGCACTGCACGAATACAAATTGGTAGCAATTGGCGTCGCGCTTGGTCTTGCATGTGCTTTGCACTTTCAAGCCTTTTTTGGAATGGCCATTCCACGTGTCGCAAGGCCGAAGAAAGTGGTTACATGCTGTAGGACGTGGTGCTGATAATCAACCTGGAGCTAACGTTGTTTTTCGGGAGGCATTGCCAAGCAGCGATCGTCCTCCCGTGTGCCTCAACTCCACCCCTTACGAACACTGCTCTTGCTTTTTTGTAGCAACTGGAGGATGAGTGTGCGCCTCACATCGTACCTGTTATCAAGCGCGCGGTGGAGGATCGCAGCTGGCGGGTACGTTGTGCAATGGCGCGGGGCTTCGCGAACGCAGCGCATGCTGTTGGACCGAAGCTGACGACGGTAGAGCTGTTGCCCTGCCTCACGAGGTATGCGTTTCTTCCGTTGGTTCGTGGATGGTATAAAAGTCCGTCGGTAGGAGTGTGGTACTCTCCTGGCGTGGCTCGACGCCTATCGAGGTTGTGTTCTACGGTCAGCGGGTGGTGTTACTTATTTTCGGTGGTCTTCAGAGCGGTGCACTGTCGGATCGAGACCAACACACCTTAGTTTTTCCGGGCACTGATTTAGTGTGGTCTGCTAGCAGTGCTGTGAAAAAGCCATACCATGTGCCAACACGCCCGTCGTTCTATCGACGTGTGATACCGTGTGCTGAATCAGGTGGTAAAAGGTCTGCATGGGCGGGAGTGCGTCGGCCGTTTGAGCATGCCCCTTGATCAATCATCACAACATCTGTCTGTCATCCCACACTCTTTTGAGTTTTTGTTTAGCTGCAGCGAACTGGTGGAGCTTACACCTTATCCTTGCTGTATTTTTTGTTTGCTTGTTGGCGTCTATTTTCAGCCTTCTTCAAGATCACGAAACCGAAGTGAGGGCAGCAATGATCAAGGACATCTCAAGCTTCGTGGATTTGGTGGGACCATCTACATTCGCCAGTGAAGTAATGCCATACGTGCTGGCACTACTTCAGGATGTGAACCTGGTGCGTGTGGTGTACAGGTTGACTGCGAGTTTGGGTGAAGCGCTGATTTGAGGATGGTGTCTTGTTTCAATTTTACCTTGTGACCCCCATCACTGATTGATGTCCGTCGATGAAACTGCTGCATCGTCACGCTTCTCCGGCAGAATGTCCGGATTGCCCTATCGAACGCATGCATGAAACTTGCGCCCAAGCTTGGTCAGGAGCACACGATGACTCACATCTTGCCGATGCTTCTGGCTTTCCTGAGGGATGAGTCCGCAGAGGTACGTTCCCGCGCAGTCACAGGGTGCTAGTGCTGCGATCAAACCGAGCGGATTGTCCTCGCCCAGATTGCTTGCATGTTGGTTTGGGCGTGTTTGTATTCAGAGTTTCCAGAAATGGTCTTAGCCACCTTGCTATTTTGTCGGCAGCGGCGATAAGGGACCCGATTCGATGTCCGTGTGAAAAATAGTCATTTTGAGTACAAATAACGCTTTTGACGCGAGACAGGACCGATTCAACTCCCCACTGCACCGTTGGTTGCGGCCCTTTTCTCCTCTCCTGGCGGAAAAACTGGAGTATTCCTAAGTAGCCACCCTCGGTAATCGTGCCCTCGAGCGCGTTGGCTCTTTCCCCTGTGTGGTTCAATGGCTCGTTTATGCGACCCCGTGAGACTCTTGACCGTAAAATATACCCCAACCAATGGCCATGTCGCTTCGCTAGGCTAGCTACTCGCTGACAGATTTTGGACGCCGTTGTGGGTGGGTAGATGGTTAGCCCACGGACTGGCTGATCCCCGATCGGTTGCGTTGTCGCTACGAATGGTGTGCTTCGCTTGCTTACAGTTAGCACCCGCGTTTAGGAAACGCCAGTTTTCCGGTCCACAAACAACTCTTTTGTGGACTGAAAACTCAGGGTACGTTGTCCAATTCTGATATCAAGTTTCTTATTTTTTCGTGATGCAGAGTCCTGCCTAATTTCTTAAATTGAATTTCTTAAGCTTTACATGGCCTCACGAGAAGCGGCGGAGAGCGCCATCAAACTCGTACGGCAGACAGCGTATCGTGGTTCCCGACATGTGCCAGACAGGATATGTGCCAGACAGTGCCAGACCCGGCAGGGTGGGGGAGGGGGCGCCGCAAGAACCCCCCCCCGCCTCGCCATACACCTATGCACTACTGCAAGGGGGTGGGTAGCACATGGGAGAGAGGGCAAGAGAGAGAGCTAGGAGATGTGTGGGGGTGTTCGTTGTTCGACGCATCCCCCGTAAACCCTCGTTTCTTACATGGTAGGGGAGCGGTCGCTCCGGTTTTCTCATCGAGGCGTTTCTTGTGTTGCGGCCCAGATTGAGTTGTATTTTTCTTAAGCCCATTTTCTTGTGTTTCGTGGAAATTTGAGCCGTTTTTTCTTGAAAAAAAAACTTAATCGCGGGCGCTAACTGTATGTTGACCGCTATGCCCACGCGTGTGTATACTGGTGGCTGAGTTGTTCCCCATTTTCGGTGATGTCCCCTATTTTTGGCGTCAACAGCGCACGGTATCCACCCGTTACAATAGTGAATGCACACCAGGCAGGCACAAGGGGGTGACTTGATGAGGTTTATAGAAACCCCTTAGCGTTTACATGCGGTACGTTGCCTCTTGTGTGCGCAAAAACCCTTGGTCGTGACCCTCCTTTCCTGTGCAGGTACGACTGCATATTCTTCTACAATTGGATGGCCTGGCGGAGTGGATGCCAGCCATGGCAGAGCAGGTCAGCACTTCAAGCCCACCGTCCTTTCGGCACGAAAAAGCCGCGAACTAGCAGATAGAAAAAAAAACACTTCTAGGTATCAGTTGATGCAGGTTTCGGGTGCATGTGTGGATGTTTTTTCTGCTTGGTCCGTGTTGTTCTTGTTCCTCCCCTGTGACGAGTTCAACGCGCGTGTTACAACCGCAAATCAGGCTGGTCTCGACCAATCCTATGTGGGTACCTTTTGGGCGCAGACTTCGAGATCGCGATTCCCTTTGTTTGAAATCAAGGCTGCCAAATCCACGTTTCATGTGTTGGACATCGAGAGCTGTCGGTTGATGCAACTTGTCGAAGTAGGATTCTTCCCTCTGAACCGGTTTACAGGTTCCGCGCAATAATGGGGACATGGGGCCAATTTACACTCGGTTCAATGGAGATGCTTAGTGAGGACACAACTGATTGAATCTATGCATAACCAACTCAGATTCAATCAAAACCTAATCGCGCTGACAGGTGCTTCCTCTGGTCCTTGAACTTGGGCAAGACATCATCTGGAGGGTGCGGAGGGCAGTGATGGTCAGCGTTCCTCTCTTGACGGAGAGGATGGGGGTGAATTACTTTGAAGAGAATCTGCTGGAACTTTACCTGCAGGTGATGACTCGTCCACAACAGCTCTATGAGTCGTCCCTGTTTTATTGCCTTATCCGTGTGGAGACTCCGGTGCACTCGTGTTGGTGCCGATACCGATGCTCCGTGTTTAGCGTATCAACATCTGCGTACGCTTTTCTGTGTTTGGTCTGTTTCACCCAGGCATACCGGGACAGCGTCAACGAGGTACGAGTCGGCGCATCAGAGGGGTTGCAACGACTGTGCAAGGTTTGCGGCGCAGATTGGTTGCAGGAGAAGGTCCTGCCGCGTATACACGGATTCTATGACGAATCTACATTCTACCTCATCAGGATCGCAATCCTAAACGCGCTCAAGAAACTGGCCAACGGAGAGGTGAGTGACGGCGTGCAGAACACATACAATAGGTGCGGCTGGCGCCAAACGTGGTTCGTTTTTGGTGTTTTCAAGCTGTATAGTTTCAATGTGACTGAATCAGATTTAGAGTTGGCTCTATCCAGTTGTGACAATCCGCTTTCCCCAAGGCTGGCCTCCGGTAAGTATCGCGATATATTGCTCGTTTTTTCGATTTCGTAAGTGTTGTTTCTCACGGAGCAAGCGTTAGTATGCAGAGACCGCGTCGAGAGACGAGCAGATCGAGAATACGGTGTTGATACGCTTGAAACGCTCGTGCTGATGTGCTTGCTAGGAGAATATTTGTGTTGAACAGAGCGTTACTGCCTGTTTTCACGTTTTCACGGAGGAGGTGAATCTCCAGACGCGTTTTTGCAATGATGGTCTAAACACAGGATGCCTACCCTCACAGCGTACTTGAAGTGAGTTGTGGTCGGAACGCATTTCGCGTCAGGTATTAAACACTCAGTTCGTACTCGCCCTGTCTTTCCCCAGGGGAGTGCGGCAAGCGTCCTGGTCGGGGACGTGCTTCAGTTGGTTCTTCGAGGGGCGCATGACAGCATCCCCAACGTACGGTTTACGGCTGTACGCGCTCTTCAAGAGATGGCACCACACCTTGACGCTGGGGCTGTGGACTCGCAGGTGAAGGACTTGTTGAGCCTATCAAGTGTGTACTGGCGATGGTAGCTTGTAGCGTCGTTGGCATCCAAACAATTCACCCGTCCACCACATTTACAGTAACCCGATGTGCTGCAGCAGAGCTCTCTTATCCCTACTGCAATTGTGAAATCTCGGGCTCTTGCCGTTTCTTTTCAACATTCCTCGGGACCCGCCACAGTTTCAACAAATGGTTGACGGCTCGTTTGCGTTTCCAAAGGGTATACATACGTCGTGCTACATGTATGTTTTTGGACTTGCTGCGGTGAGAGTGGGCGTCGACCAAATCACTTGTGTGTGACCCTTGAGTACCCAGCAATGCCGTGTTGGATATGGTAGACCTTGTTGTGGCGTTTGTGCATGGTATCATATGGATGAACCCCAAGCGTCTATCTAGTTGTCCCGATTCCCAGTTCCCGCCAAAGTGCCAGAAAACGGTTGAACGTTCGTCTAATATAGTCTACTGGTACAACAATTGCTACCTGGAATCAGGGTGCACGTCTTGCGGGACACAAGTTTTCTTCTCAAGACGCTGCTACCATGGTCTCGGGTTCTATGCATGCGACAGAATCAAAAATAAATGTAGCACTTTACCTTCCTATTGCGAGCCTCGCCTATCGATAGACTGATGCTACGGCGGAGTACAGCAATAGAGTTGTGGCTCAGCCAAAGCTGATACCCAACCTTTCTGATGGTCGCATGCGAGCAGCCGGTCTACACACTCCAAAGGTTCAATAATAGTTGAAAGTTGTGTCGGCGGCAGTAGAATCGCAGCTATCGTCACGAAGACACGCCTATTAGTGATTCTGGCACTCTCCGCTCAACGAGACGGTGTACCAGTTGTTTTTATGCTTTCGTTGCTGTGTGTGTTTGCGGTGAGTAGCGTGGAAAGGAGCGGAGTAGGCTAGTACCAAAAGAAAGAACCATGTCAGCCCAATTTTCGAAGCGCGTCAGACACAACGCCAGAACGCCAAGGAAGTAGTTGGGAGTTGGTTTGCCGACTGGTCAACCTTCACCAGAGCTTGAATCGAATGCAGCGTTAGGTTTTGCATGCTGTACGGAAGTTCTCAGGCGCCTCCGGACGGATATATTGCTGTGACTTACCCGCACCCGAATAGACGCACTGACGGCGTAGACTAAATAGTGATGAGGAAGGGTGATGGGATATCCGCTCGCCCAGGCGGGGGTTGGACTGAATATTTTATTTGTATGGTTTTGGCGTTGTGTCATTGACGGGACTGTAGCAGTTTTTCCTTCGTACTGTAGCAGGCCCGAGGTAACCCCTACCCAGAGTCTGGAGCCCGCATGTTGTCTCCTCCGAGGTCAACGGGTGACGAGCGGCACATCGTTCGTCACAAGTAGTGCCGGATTCTGGTCACGGCGGCCTACGCGATGGAACTTGTATTTTCTATCCATCCGTCCATGTGCGGTGAACCGAAAAATGCGTGATGGGGATTGCTACTGTACGTTGTGATAAAAAGATATGGACTAGGCGTCCATTTCATTCCTTTACGAATCTACGTTTCTCCTATGAATTGACAACCGCTCGGGCTCCATTGAGGGGTGGATGGATACCTTGATACCTTGTGTATCTATCCATAACCATGCCTCGAGCAGGCAGTAAACGAGTAATATATGTACAGGCTCAAATGCTCTGCTGGGCACCATTTTTATCTTCCCTTCGCACGCGTCTTCGATTTTGAACATGGCAGGTGCGCCCGTGCCTGACGGAGCTGATGCAGTCTGATCCAGATGACGACGTGAAATTTTTTTCTGCACAGGCCTTAGAAAGCATTCGCTGATGCAAAAGTTGTATGTGTGCGAAGGCGAAAAGGGGCGTGATGCATCCAAACGCACGGCGGCAGGAGATTTCCCGTGTCGCTGGTTTGTTGTAACGTTGTAACACTGTAATGGGTATCCGTCGCTTGTGAACTTCACGAGAGAGGCAAATGTTTTTCTTTTATTGTTCACAAAGGGCGGGCGTATGGGGCAGGAAATACTTGGCAAATAGTAATTCGCGCAAGGTCAGCACGTGACCTGTCGAAATTGTCGTGTTGATCTCTTGAGGCAAGTATAAGGCGAGCACCAACGTCGTATTTGGTGGCGAAATCGAGCCCGTAAATCGTTCGCGAACAGTGAACTGAACGTACGACGGTGTCCAACCAGCTTCTTCAGGTTCTACCAATTTCTTCTTTCATGCGTTGCGGCAATGACGGTCTAGCGTGACCTAGCCGGCGTATACAAAGAGTCGCAAGCATCCATGCATTCTTGGCCGTGTTTTTTCGTTTGGAGCGGGTCTCTGCAACACCTCATCCATGCCGACGAGACTTCATCGCTTTGTATTCCTACTCGACGATCTCGATCGCCGACGTTTGCGTCGGCTAAGTTCTGCTTTAGTTCCAAGCCGCAACTTATCTACCAACGCCGTACTGTCTTCGTCTAAGTCAACCAAGTTTCGGCGAACGGTGGGTTCCGAAGGAACCCCACCAGCACCGTCCGCTGATGCAACAGATATCTTCGAAGTAGTCGGCACACCGCTGCTACTCCCCGCCAAATTCTCGTCCCACTCGCCCACCCCCTCTCCAGAATCTGATAACAAATCGAGGTCGTCCCCTCCGGCGCTTGTCTTATCCCACCCCAGACCTGCGAGCGACTTGAAAACCGACCCCGCCTTTGCCTCATGACCAAAGGCTCTGATATTGCCCGCCGTACTTGGACGACGAGACCGCGCATTCGCCTTACTTGGACTTGGAGTGCGAGACCTCGCGTCAAGCTCCTCTCCACGTGGCACTACTGTGTGCGTATTCGCGTCAGCACCACCCGATTCTGTCGGGCTACCGTTGGTGGTCAGACCACCTATTTCGTGCCGAGTCAAAAACGCCGAGGACACGCGGCCATACTTCTTTGGTGGGACCGCTAGGCTGGCAGGATCTCCGCCTCCAACTGGATCCTCGTCATCGGCCGTTGGGTCGTTCGACATGAATTTATCATACGAGAACGCCGACGATTTCTGGTGTCCCAGCGAAGCACGACGATCCCGTCCTTTCGAATCCCATGCGGTGGCGAAGCGGCTGCACAGCGATGAGGCGATCAGACCAAGAGGCTCCGGTGCGTAGACCCGGGCACATTCGCCTACCAGCGAAGATGTTGCCAAAACGTACCTCCCTATCGAACGTCTCGAAAGAGTTCTATAAACCCTCGATGGCGAAACGTTATTCTGCTGCCCTCCCCGGATACGCACCCCTGCTTCTGAAGTGTCTCGGCCGCCATCGCCCCCCCGCACAAAATCTTCTGGCCTGCTGCCGGATGTTCCTCTTGCTCGGATCGCATTCAGATGATCTGGGGTCGGCGTCGTCAACACCGAGGCAGGAAGAAGGAAACCGAGGAGGAGAAGGACTTTTGGGGCACTTCGTCCAAGCATTTTGAAATGATAAGCAACAGATAGTGCGATGGGTTGGGTGTTTCACACTTCCGCCGTCTCTGCCCTCTGCAGTCACTCCCGTAGCTCTCGGGTTGGTGGCAGCAGTGCAATGATGTTGACCCTGTTGCTGCTGCTCACGACGTGATCGTGCGCCTGGGAGGCTTTATAGTTCAGTTCGGAGAGGGGTGCACAATTTGATTTACGGTGCCGCTGCTTTTGCTGTGTCGCCGTGATGTGCAGTGCGCTGCTCACGTTCCAGTTTGTTTGGCGGTGGTGGCTGCAGCACCATCGGCTAGATGGGTGACTCCCCTCTATCTTCTGACGCTGGTTTTGCAATGGAGGAATTCCGCGAAGGTGTAGAGCATCGTAGTCTCCATCGCCGGCTTGGCACGCTCGAGGCGCTGGCTGCGTGGTTGAGTCCCCACCAGCCTTGCGAGGCTGTCTCTAAGCCGCAGGCGAGAGTGCTGGTGCGACTGCTGGTTAGCGCCCTGTGCAGTGCACAATATTTGGAGCGCTCGTGGATTGTTGGCCTGCACAAGACCATATCAAGCGCAGCAAGGTCGGAAAGGTGCCCGACATTCACGCCAATGTGTGTCGCGAGCTTGGCTGGTGAGAGCGGATTGAGTGAAGTGTAGGAAATACGGCTGTGTTCCCCATGTGCACTGCTGGTATCTGCAGTCCACTCCTTGCATGCAAGTATTTCTTGGGGGATTTGGCACTGAACTACATGTATTAGGACATACACACACAGAAAAGACTACCCGTTCGAGATATACCCACAGTCGAATGGAATGTGGTGAAGTGAGATGCCAATCGTTAGTTTGTGCGTGTATCATCACGAAGATATCTACGCAATGTAGAAGACAGGTCCCCATGTGCTTTCTCTTCTGCACATTGACCTGCAGGTGCTGCCCCTTCGGCATCAGACGGCAACTCCCAGCTGGCAATCCTGCGCGTCGCATGTGTCCTTGTCGAGGCAGCAGCACCTGCTGACGCTGAAGAGGGGGTGCCAGAGTGGATTCGGAAACTCATTGCAGCGCAGGCTTCTGTTCATGAGAGGGTGGGTGCGATTGGCGACGAAGACAACAGTGCGAAGGCCGAGGGGCTTCTTCACAGATGCCTCAAGATGCGTCCTGGTTTACTCGACGTGTATCTCGAAGTACTGACAGCCGAGGACAGAAGTAGTGACAGCCTCATGGCGCTATCAGCCATTGCTTCCTTTACAGTGGGTCTTCCGGCATATGAGGGTGAGTTTGCATGAGACGAATTGTGGTCTATTTATTATTCTTCATTTGGTGGTGCTTCCTGCTGAAACTGTCCAACCTCCCGTCCAGTAGTCTACCACGTTACACAATTGTACTTCGAAGTACAAGTACATACCAGGATATCACAGCAGTTGTGGCGGCTACGATATAGAGAATCGATACAACAGAAAACATGGATACAGTAGTGGTCCCGATATACTGTAGTGGCACCCGAAATGCCCGATTGTAGTGGCATCAAAATCTCTTGTGGCATATCAAATCTCAACCCGGTATGTAAGTGGCATGTTACCATATTGACGACGGAGCCCTCAATAATGGCATTTTGGGCATCTCACCCCCCCAATGTGCATAGCAGCAATTCAAACCGTCGGCGCCCCCCGGTATTTCACCATGCCCACCACCACAGACACACACAGCAGTGGGCGCCACACGGCCAGGCCCGGCGTTTCGTCGTCTGGCATTGGCGAGGCCGGGCATTCCTCCGTAAGGCAAAGATGGAATTCTTCGCAGCACATGCCGCTAGATCGATACGGCAGATGGACATCAGAGCGTTTATTACCCGTTCCCCGGTCATATTGTAGTAACGCCTATTGGTGCAAAGTATGGTGACGGTTGGGATTGTGCGCCGCAGTGGAGAATGTTCGACGTTTACAACTTGGTTGCTTTAGTTGGTTTCGCGTACACTGCTGTGTTCAACTTTTGTCAACTTGTGTGTTTTGCTTGTGTTGCAACACCCATCATGGCCCGCCTGCAAAAGAACAGATTGTGTTACTTGGCTGCTATTCGTTTGGACATTGTCTCTGGAGTCCGCCTGCACACAAAGGTAGGTTGCGACTGCAGAAGGCCTAGTTGTCATTTGGACGATCAAGAGTCATTTCACATTTCATGGGCAGGCACCTGCATTTTTCACGCGGATACTGCTGCAGACAACGAAGGAGTCACTACAGTACTATAATACTGTACCAACACTAGCTCCCTATACAATGTGAGTGTAGATCCAACGAAAAACGGTCGGTAGCGCACACATCTCGAGCTTAATCTCCTCAATAGTGGCCTTAATACTATTGCTATTGGCTACTTAATAGTGTTGTTGCCACTATATCGATTAGTGGCACTGCCCTGAATGGTGGCATTTTCTGCTCTTGCCCCTTTATGCCACTATATCGGGACCATGATATTATTGTCACGGCCATGATAAACCTGGATAGATAAGGGGGTAAAAATGAGCCACGGGTGACGACTCAATACCTTGCAGTGGTCTATCTGCGATGGTGTGGAAGGTGCGAGACATGCTTCTTCAAGGCAGCAATGCTGCAACCCAGAACGCGAATCCCTTACTTGCGGATTATATATTCCAACGGATCTTCCAAGACCTTGTACCCGCTCCCGCTGGAAGTTTGTTGAAAATTCTACACATGAACGGCGGAGGAACACACACAACATTCTGGCTCTGCTACAACAGCAGTGCCGCCAAAACGATCGGCACCTAACAGCAGCACTGACACAGACACAAATGCACAGTGGTAGCTTACGCGAATGCACTTTTGTGCTGCTGCTGTAATGGCAATGACTCCCATCTATGTTACTCATTCGGCAGTGCATAGAATAATATACCCTGGCGCCTGTCACCAAAAAGGCTCGTCTTGTATATTTTTTTGCTTTTGGCATAGTTTTGTTTCCAGGTGACCCCTCCCTACACACCGAAGCAGCAACAATAAGAAAGGTAATCCGCCACGAGCTGTGTCCATGCTACGTCTTGTGTGGTGGTTAACACCAACAATAAGGCTGTAGTACGCTCTTTTCAATTGCGGGCGCGAGAGTCTGGCACAGCCTGTAATAAAGCCCGCCGCGTCTGTCTGCTGGAATCCGTTTGACCCCCCCCCCCCCCCCAAGCGCAAAGTACGTTTGTTTTTTTTACCGATGATCCCTCCCCACACACCGAATCGACAGCAATGACGATGACATCCGCCACGAGCTGTTTGTATGGCTCCCTTCCCTCGCCCGTGCTGTCTTGCCGCTTCCAGCGGTGTTGCGTGTCTCGCTGAGTGTTTTCCTCTGTTTCTCCTGGTTTGAACCGAGCAACTGCTGCGTGTGTGTGTGGGAGATCTCCGCTTTTGTGTTCCTTTACCTCTCGTCCAACTCCCGGGGAAGGGGTCAAAATATCGTTTGGTTTTGGGGGACAAATGCCTGCCAAGCACGGCCATCTGTTGGAGCGCGACCAAACCGGTGTGACGAAGTACCCTAAAAATCTTGCTTCACAAGCCAGCAGATCTTAAATCGGTGCTCTATAGAGCTTGTTCTGGTCGAACAAAGGCGATATTTTCAGACGGTCCATAATTAGGCGGAAATTGCATAAGGGCCCCTCTATCGCGTTGGTTGGAAGAGCCCGACGTACAGAGCCTTTTTTTCCTTCGTAGGGATGATTAAAATAAATGAAAAATGTCGCGCTTCGCGCTCCGCGGCTCATTTTAAAAGTATTTCCGCTTGTCCAACCCTCCGCTATATCATAGCCGCCTCTGCTGTAATAGACATCGATGAGTGCAACGTGTAGTAATTGACACAAGAACGGGTACCAATTGTATTGGCGTTTAGGCTCACTCCATTCATGCGGATATGTTTGGATATCCGTCTTGTCTTCATAGCAAACCGCGGGTCTGCCGGTAAGCGAAATTCTTCTCACCACTTTCGTCTCCACGTACATTGCTGTCCTTTCCGGTGAGGGAGAACAAACCTCGATCTAGCCACACACGGCCAATCTGACTCTTGAAGGCTGTCCTGGAATGCATCTCAGCCACAGGACCGACTTGGAGAGGGGTAGGGCCACCTGACAAAGCAGCAAAATATTTTGCCCTTGATGGACCCCTGCAGTTGTGTCACTTCGTGCATATCTGATCATATTGTGCTGGTGTTGTTTCTCCGGCGGGCTCGGGGTGCGACTCGGGTAAGGCAGTAGTTGCCTAGAAGTATTCCTAGCATGAAGCAGAGCACAGGAGCCTACATGGTACACTGACACGAAACCCACTATATATATGCATCGAAAAAAAGTATTTGTTTAGGATTCAGGGTAACGTCGAGAATTACACCCGGAGGGCTTGGGTTTTGGGGCTCTCGTGTAAACGTCCGCTGCACACCTTCAATGAAACCGCCGAACATGTTTCCGTATTGAAGCACAGCACAGCACAACACAACGGCGGGGCACGTACGGTGGCGCTCAGTCTTGGTGATGAAAATATCCTGAGCAAGCTCGAGAATCTCGTTTGAGCCCAAAAGTTAGACGGTTTTGGAAACATAATGCTCAGACAAAGACGGTCAGATTTTTTAGTTGTTTAGCCGGTAACGGTTTATTTGTCTGAGACTGCCCCACTTGCCATCCACGGCTCAGACAAACATCTTTCACCACCCTCACTTTTTCTTAGGCGTGGGTTCCTGTTCAGTAGGTCCAGATTTTGGAGCATCAGAGCAGTAAACCACAAAAAAGATGGCGTCACAGGGTGCAGACTCGTCCGAGCCTCATTGTCACCACCACTGGACAGAGCTGCTCCTCCGATGCGGGCGGTGTCTGTCTACATATATGTGGTATGTGGTGATCGCTGTGGAAGGAACCGACAAGGAAGGGTGGGATGAGACAAAGTTCACCAGCCGTCAACACAGAGCAACATCTTCTTGCCTACAACCTGTTAAAGAAAACACCCACACCATGACATGTATGTAGGTCACTCGAACTGCTGGGAGGTGGCCCCACAGTTGATTTGTGTTGCTCTCGGCGCCACCTCCTCTAGACAGCTGTTGCGGTTTGGAATGCTGCTTCAAATATCGCTGTGTGAACGTGATTCTTGTAGGTTGAAGCTGCTGCTCAGCTGCTGCTACAGGTAGCTGCCGCTGAACCGCCGCCTCTCTCGTTCGCTTGATTGAAACAAGAAGCGACCTGAGCGGCTGAGAGTTTGGTTGCAAGAAGCCTTTCGGGTGTTTCTCTGCGGCGACAACACACCCGCTAAATGTTCCTGGGACCGGATGATAGACAGCAGCAGCCAACCAAGCAACAACCTTTTCTTTCTTGTGTAGACAAGGGAAAGGCGACGTGGGAACGGCGCACGCGAGTCTTTCGGCCAATCAGCGGGGGGCAGTTGCCACGTCATGCCGAAAAAAATCTGAGTCTCTTTTCGGATCTTTTAAATTTTGCCTGAGCAAAACGAAACGTTTTTCCGAAACTCCCCGTTGTCGGTCTGTGCCTCGAGATAATATTTACAGTACACCCACATGTGTTAAGTTAATTCGTGCGAATTTGTTGTTGTTGTCCTCACTTGCGAAAGGGACGAACCCGAAACAGGATAACTGATCTGTGAAAAGGACGACCCACTTCTTGCGGTGCAGGTGGATCTTTTTTTAGGCCATCCGAGTCATGGAACCCAAGAAAGAAACGTGTAATACATGTACCGTCCCACCGATTTGGTTGTCCGATGATTTCTCAGCACCATGTGAAGCAGCAGCAATCGTACAGCTATCCCCGTGAACTGTGTGTGTGCTACGGCTTGTGTGGCGGCTGATCGAGATCACGGGGCGATAGGAGGCGCGGAAACTGAGATGACCAGAGTCGAGACCATGCGAGAAAAATACCTACTGCCTCAATAGCGCGCAAGAGTCGAGAGCACACGAAAGAAAGACCCACCGCGGCTGCGTCCAAATCTCTCGGCTTGCTTGCGGGACACAACTGATTGGTGTCCACCAGGTTCAGCGGAATGAAGAAACAACGGCTTGCCGATGCTACCCACGCTGAGCCAACCAGATGGCGCAACTCGTGTGACCACCGTTAGAGGTTGCGGGGATCAAGCGTCGAGAGATTCAAGTTTGTAGGTGGCACTCTCTTGGTGCGATGTAGAAGAGTCATCCTGGGCTTGAACAAAAAGGTCAAGATATTGTGACAGCCCAAACCTGCCGAAACGCTGCTCAGAAGTGGACGGGAGGGGACTGTCCAAAAGGGTTGTCCTTTGTGGATAGTCTAAAAGTAACCGATTGTGACATTGCAAGTGCTTTTGGGGTCAGTTGCCCTTTGTAGATCAGTCGTCCTTTTTTGCGGCAAAAGGACAGCCGATGAAAGATTTCCAAGAAGTCTGCCTTAGGAGAGGGAAATGACATGCTCGAAGTGAGTTTTCTTGCATACAGATGGTCGGGTTCGACCCAGCAAGATAGGCTAGGTTCACCATGGATAGTCTAAAAGTAACCGATTGTGACATTGCAAGTGCTTTTGGGGTCAGTTGCCCTTTGTAGATCAGTCGTCCTTTTTTGCGGCAAAAGGACAGCCGATGAAAGATTTCCAAGAAGTCTGCCTTAGGAGAGGGAAATGACATGCTCGAAGTGAGTTTTCTTGCATACAGATGGTCGGGTTCGACCCAGCAAGATAGGCTAGGTTCACCATCGGCGATGTGCAAAGACGCCTGAAGGTGTTTGTTTTCAGTCCAATGAAAGAAACAACTAGATCAGGCTGTTGCCAACTATAATATCAGTTTACTACAAGTTGGCAAAAACCCTGACCAACGTGGACCCCATGTTGTATTGTACGATAGTCCATCCTTGGGATTTGTAGGATAACGTGTACTCTGTATACAAACGCGGTTGCCGTATGCAAGCGTCATTCGATTTCTCGCACTGTCGCGCGTACTGGATATATTATGTCCAAACTTATCTTTTGCGCTCGTCACAATTGGACGCGCGTTGGTTTGCAGGCTCCATCAAACAGCGCCTGCTTGCAGTCTACATTCGTTACGCCTTAGCGACCAAGGGTGGCTGCGACAAGCACAAGCTTGCAAGCTTCAGCACGCTGCTCGCATCACTAACGCCGGACGATTTCTCTGGGGCTGTGCAACCCGTATTGGAGAAGCTTCAGAAAAAGAACCCCGACAGCATTTTGCTGGCTGTGGCGTCGCTGGTGAAACACGTGCGCATCGACCTGAGCACTCATGTCGGAATTTTTCTTCCACCGCTGCTCAGACAGCTCCGCTCGTCGAAGGAGGACGTGCGTCGGATCGCAGTGGAGTTGATGGGCGATTTCGCAAAGCGCTGTGGCGACCCAGAGGTAGGTGGACGGGCTGCTTCTTACATAAAGGGCTGCCTCTTTTCACACATTTACTGAAAAACGGACAACAAATAATCAATTCATTTCCACACCGTACGTATTACCCCCAGGCGCTTCAACTCATGGTGCTTGAACTCAGCGGTGTCCTAGCCGGGAAATCTGGGGTGATGGCTCAATGGTATCAGCGGCACTCCGTCTTCTTGGCGTTAGAAGGAGTGCGTGGAGGTGTCGTGTCGAGCGAGATGCCCATGTCACGTGCCACGGAGCTTGCACTCGGTGCTGTGGATGGGCTCTTGCCTGCGGTGGAGAAAGAATCGCATGAAGACACGCGGGCGGTTGGGGTCGGTTGCTTGACACGCTGGGCTCTGCTGCTCGACACCATCCCACCGAAAATTCTCGCGTCTTTGAAGAATGGACTGGGGTCTGCTGCTCGCCACACAGCAACCATCTTCGCTGCGGCCGCATGTGAACTGAGTGGGTGTCCGAGGCTTCGCGCTCAGCTCTTATCACTGATGCCTGATCTGCTCGCTCGCGTCGAGCTTGGCTCGAAGAAGCCGAACGCGTTCCACCCCGACGCTATTTACAGCGCCAAGGTGGTTCTAGAGGTCTCGGCTGCGCATCAAGATTGGGTGGAGAGGATCAACGAGGCGTTTCCATGGCATGCCCTTATGGATCAGGGTTCGTTTTTGTTCCCTGCAGGTGTATTGGCTCCGCCATTCGCGGACGTGTCCCTGACTGGAGATGCTGCCGGGCCGCTGGCGCCCCATGTTTGTGTTGCGTTGTGCCACGTGCTTTCGCTAGCGTCGAAGCTCGTCGGTGGGCAGTCGCAGCGTGATGTACAGCCGTTTTCCGAGGCGGCATCCTTGGCAGTTGTGCAATGCCTGGTGCTACCAAATCAGGAAGTACGACGGGTCGCCACAGAAACAGCTGTGACTGTTTGCAACCTGGTGGGTGGGTCCCAGGCAACCCTTCTGAAGTCATGCCAACAGGTGAGAGGCCGGTACCTTTATGTGTGGGGCATTGTGGCAAGCAGTGGCATGGATATGGACTCGATGTCCCTCTTACAGGAGGCCCCCACGTTTGTTGACTGGAGTTGATATTGCCACTAAGCGTTACAGCACGCTTGTTGTCTCGTGTTTACATGCGCAGGTCATCACTACACACGCAGCGGCAGCGGCAACCGCGAAAATCGTCAAAACCCTTCCGTCTTCAAGTAAGGAGGACGCGAAGCCAGTGCTTCCTCCCGCAAACCGCTTCGCGGCGGCCCTTTGTTGCATCCTGGGAAGTTCTGCCCCCAGCGGCGTGCTCGCGATAGCGCTTCTGCTGTCTCACCACCCGTTGGTGTGCCACTCAGCGAAAGGTGCCATATCGCTGTGGGGAGGGATATTGAGGCGGGCATTCGGCGGTGTGGGAGGCATGGAATCATGTTTGGAAGATAGCGCCGTTGCGGCGAGCGTCGCTTCCGACCTAGTAAGCGCAATGCAAGGGGACGCCATGTACGACAGGTGAAAGACTTTCATCGGATTTATTTCAAACGCCTGCGAACCAAAACATAAGGTAGTACGCGCACATGACCTTTCTTTGCACCTTCGATGTCTTCCCTTTGGGTCAGTTTGCGGCCATGGAAATTCGTTTGCTTGACTTTCAACAGCAGGGAAGGGGAGCTGTATCGTGTCTGGGCCAAAATGGCTCTTGGTGTTAGTAACAACAGTAACAGCAAATAGCGACAAGATCATAGTGACAAGATTATCGCTCTGTTGCACGCATTTTTGCAGCAGAGGACATGGTCACGTTTCGCGAGGGGAGAAGAGGAGGAAAATCTCGACTTTTTCCTCGTGGCGCAACGGTTTTTCGTCCCCGTTGCCGTGTGTCCTAGGGAGTATGCCTCAATTTACCGGGCGCGATTTTGTTTGCACCTCGGCGCGCTGCCTAGTCCCCATGTTCCCACTCGGGTAGCGTTGCGCTTGCACCATCTCATGTTTCTACGCTTGTACATTGGACGTTCCTGCGGCCACAACCCAATTGCGATACGCGCGCTTGTCCGAGCTCGAGATCTTGCCTGGTATCGTCGTTTCCAGATTCAACGATATCCCCGTTAGTAGGCGCATTCCCGGCACGGGAGTGCAGCAGCAGCAGTCACAAGAGTAGCAGCAGCAGCATAGGCAGTAGGGCACTAGTTATCGAACTAAATATGCTTTGCCTTTCCTGCATATGTGCAGGTTGTCCGCCCAGTGGGCTCTTGCCTCTCTAGGAACCACTTGTGGCGCCGGCGGATCGCAAATCGTAGCGGATCGCTTGTTCCCAGCTCTACTGACTGTTCTGGAAGATGGCGAGTTGAGAACACTCTCCACCACGGACGTGAACATTTTTTTCACCCCAGCCAATGTGGCGTACGCGTTGCCTGCGTCTCAAAAGAAGCCGGTTGCGACTGCCAGCAAGAATGCAATCCGGCGAGGAATGGATGCAGAAGAAGCCGAGTGGGAAGAGCGTGTGAGGGCAGAAATCGTATCAAAGGACAGGAAGAAGGGCCAGTCCGGCGGCTCGATAAGCGGGAAGGGCCCCATGGAAAGAGCTGAGGCGGAAGCGTTGGCTCAAGTGCTTCAAGAGGAGGGCGCTATCCGCGATAGGGTCCGGCGAATTCGTGACCGTGCTCAGGCATCGCTGGTGGGATTAAAACTCGGTTTCCGCGCATGCCCTGATCTGGGGTTTGGGTGTATCCCTCTCGCCCTACCCGTTTTGGTTCCCTTGATGGGATGGAAACTGCTCGAGCAAGAGGCCCAAGACTGCGTCGAAGCCCTCGCGTCGACTGCATCAAACGAGCTTCCTGGTTGCTCGTCCTTGATCGCATCTTCTCTTCGGGCAGTGCAGCTATTCCCTGGCGCGGCTGGCCGTTTCGCAGTGCTGAATGCGTGCTTAGACTCAATCGAGCAGGCATGCCTGTCGGGCGTGAACGGTGAGACACCTTTGGCGCAACCCGCCCTAGCGCTCGTTTTTCCTGTTCTGCGAGAGGTGCTCAACAATCCACCATCTACAGCACAATGCTCCAGGGCTCTCAAAGTTGTTTCCATTCATGCCAATATGGAGGGAGGTGCCGCGACCGGCAAGACGGTTCTCCGCGGCTTGCGCATGTTCATGATCGAGGGAATCCTGAACGTCGTGGACAGATTCCCCCAGATGGAGCCCACCCCGGACGCGGTTCTTGCGTCGATTTGTACCGCTCCAGCACTGGACGCCAGCGAATGGGGCCCGTTACTCGGGAGCGCCGGACTATTGAGCGAGGCCCGCCATGTTCGGCTGGCTTCACTCGAGTCTGTGATGATGATGGTTCTAGATGGACAAGCGCTGTCGGATAACCCTTTGGTTGAGAGCCGCCTGTGGCTTTGCAGGTTTGATGCGGACGAGGATAATGCAGAGCTGGCTGACGAAGTGTGGAATGCCAGGGGGGCACCTCTTTCCTCGAGCTTTTCCGGTCCGCTCATGGCGCTCCTGTCTGACAGCAAGGCGCATGTGCGGGAATCAACTGCTCGGGCGCTGGCAGGGGGAATGTTACAGCACCCCACGTCAGGCTCGGCGTTTCTGAAACGCCTGTACGGCCTGTACAGTACTCACGCGCCACCACCTGCAGCGGAGAAAAGCGACTCGAAGCTCGACATGGACAAGTTCTTCGCGGCGCCGATGGGCGCCGAAACGAGCTCCGAATCAAAAGTGGACGCCGGGTGGCCAGCCCGAGCAGGGGTGGCGGTGGCACTTAAGGCTATCGGCGAAGCACGGGCGTTTGACGACGGGAGCAGTACTTCGGTTTACGAAGCGTTCGCCTTCCTCGTTGAGCACGGTATCGCGGACTACAGCGCGCGCGTGAGGGGGCACATGCTAGCCGCTGGTGTGGCAGTAATATCGACCTACGGGGGAGGATGCGCTGTGCAATTTTTGCGCCCATGTGAAGCGGTGATGGCGGAAAGCCCTCGCAAGAGCGAAGATGCTCAGTGCATGGACTGGAGGAGAGAAGGCGTGGTTGTTTTCATGGGCTGCGCAGCAAAGCACCTTGACAAGGAAGATCCTAAGGTGGTATCGATTGTGCAGACGCTCGTTGGGGCCCTTGCTACACCGTCAGAAGCTGTGCAGATTGCTGTGTCGGATTGTCTTGCACCGCTGATGAAGATTCCTGTCGTGAAAGAGCGCGGCCCCGAGCTTTTGAAGACACTACTTTCTCGTTGTGTGGGGGGGCGGTCGTATGGCGAGAGAAGAGGTGCAGCTTTTGGAGTCGCCGCGGTGGTGAAGGGTCTGGGGATCGCGACCATCAAGAAGCACCAGGTTATCAGCACTTTGGAGGCGGCTTGCAAGGGATCAAGCTTTCAGGGCAAGCAGGGGGCCCTGTGCGCATTCGAGTGCATGTGCGTGCGTCTAGCGCTTCTGTTTGAACCGTATGTGATCGTGATACTCCCGCACCTGCTCAAGTGCTTTGGTGATTCGTCCAACTATGTGCGCGAGGCCGCACACGACTGCGCTCGGGCGATCATGTCAAAGCTCTCTGCCCACGGCGTAAAGCTCATCTTGCCGGCGATTCTAAAGTCCTTGTCTGACCCGGCATGGAGAACGAAGCAAGGGGCAATCGAGCTTCTTGGCTCCATGGCGTATTGTGCGCCGCGGCAGCTTGCGGATTCTCTCCCTTTGATCGTGCCCAAGCTCACCGACGCCTTCGCTGACACTCACCCGAAGGTCCGGGATTCTGGTCGCAAAGCCCTGGAAGACATCGGAAGTGTGATCAGAAACCCAGAGGTTGCAGGATTATCGATGACCCTCATGTCAGCCCTGTCCGACCCTTCCAAGTACACTAGGGGCGCGTTGGAGGCGTTGCTGGCTTGTGAGTTCATGCACTCCATAGACGCTCCTTCCCTCGCGCTCTTGGTGCCCGTGCTTCAGCGGGGTCTTAAGGATCGGTCCGCAGACGTGAAGCGAAAAGCAGCACTCATCACGGGTAACACCTGCACCATGATCTCGGAGGCGAAGGACTTGCTTCCATACCTGTCCGCCATTCTGCCTGGACTCAAAGCCACGTGCATCGACCCCATTCCGGACGTGCGGGCCACAGCCGCGAAGGCCTTGGCGGCCCTAGTGCGTGGCATGGGCGAAGACAAGGTCGGAGATGTGGTGCCGTGGCTGATCGAGACGTTGAAAGCAGACAGTAGCTCCTCAGAGCGCAGCGGAGGTGCGCAAGCACTTTCCGAAGTGCTTGTAGTACTAGGAGTACCGCGCACGTCGTCTGTTTTGGGCGACCTCCTGCCCTTGGCTGCTCATCCGAAGGGATCTGTTCGGGAAGGGGTGCTGTGGGTCCTGTGTTTCCTTCCGGGGGCTATGGGGAAGGATTTCGCTCCCATAATTCCGTCGTCGTTGCCTGTGGTCCTCGCAGGCCTCAGTGACGAAGTTGAGGCTGTTCGAGAGGTTGCTCTTCGTTCTGGGCAAGTGTTGGTGTCCACGCATGGCAAAACTCATGCAGACCAGCTTCTCCCCGCGCTTGAGGACGGACTGTTCGACGATAACTGGCGCATCAGGCAGAGTTCAGTTCAGCTACTTGGTGACTTGCTCTATTTGATCGGCGACACCAAGGAGGTTGCTCTCGATGAGGGTGCCGTAGAAGACGACGCACGTGGTAGTACGCGAGCGGGTGAAGCTATCGAGGAGGCCCTTGGCCTTGATCGACGCAACAGCATTCTGGCTTCGTTGTACCTCATCAGGTCCGACACGAGCGCCGTCGTTCGGCAAAGTGCGTTGCAAGTGTGGAAGACGGTCGTGCCCAACACTCCCAAGGCGCTGCGGGAGATTTTACCCCTTCTCATCAACCAGATCGTAACGGCCCTTGCCAGTGGAAATCCGGACAAGCGAACCGTTGCTGGACGCGCTTTGGGGGACATTGTGAAAAAGCTTGGAGATCAGGTTTTGCCAGAGGTCGTACCGTTTCTCCGGGAAGGGCTGGAGGCTGGCAATGAGAACATGCGGCAGGGTGTATGTCTTGGACTGGCGGAGATCATGGACTGCGCTACGCCACGCCAGGTGGAAGAGTTTATCGACACGCTAGTGCCAGCTATCCAAGATGCGCTGTGCGATCCAAGTGCTGAAGTGCGCGAGCAGTCGGCACAGGCGTTCCACAGCCTTTACAAGGCTGTTGGCGTTCGTTCCATTGAACACGTCGTGCCTTCTCTGCTGAAGGAACTCGGTCAAGAGGGCGACAGCGAGCGCGCATCCAGTGGAAGGGAGAGGGCGGTGTTTGGGCTAAAGGAAGTGTTACAGCTCCGTCCTCGGGATCTGCTTCCGTACCTCATCCCCAAACTGGTTTCGTTGCCTATTCCAATCGCGCACGCTCGTGCCCTGGGCGCGGTGGCAGAAGTGACTGGCGGGTCCATCCATTCACATCTTGCCGTCATTATTCCGGCTCTTGTGTCAGAACTAGCCCGTACGGATGGATCGGTGGACCTCACGGACGGCTCAGGCGCCATGGAACGCCGCGAGGCACTCAAGCAAGCGGCCTCGACGTTGGTCTCGACGGTGGAGAACGTTGGAGTCAACTGGCTTTGCAACGAGATGACTCGGCTGATGTCTAGCAAGGAACCGCAACAGCGAAAGTGGTCAGCTTGGCTGGTGGAACAATTTTTGCGCGGGACAGAGGCGGAGTTTGAGGGGAGAATCCCTCAGCTACTCAAGGTATGCGTCCTGTTGTTTGGATAGCAAACGCGATCTACCAGTCGTTATTCTGTGTGACCTAAAATCGTACCTCCTGTATAAGGCGACCGTCCGGTTGGTATTGTTGTTGTCTTGGTGTTAATTGGTATACCGGACGAATTGATGAACGAAGCGAAAGTAACCGATTTGCTTGGACGTTCGATGGCACAAAACGCGCGCACACGTGCACACATGCACACGACAGGCATACACGACTGTACTCCATGCCCCAAATGCCCCACACGACCTTGTTGCTCGCGTACTATGTGTAACCGTAGGAGCTGCTACAGCGCCTTGTCGATGCAGAACAGGCCGTCCTTTCGGCTGTCTGGTCGGCCCTGAAAGCTCTGAACGCGAGGGTGTCCGCGGAAGAGCTGGTGCCACATTTGACCTTTGCGCGCAGCATCATTGCTTCGATTGTGAGTGATGCGCGTCACAGGAGAGGGGGTGGTGGCGCGGGTTCCGAATTTTACCTGCCAGGAGTCAACATTCCGAAGGGTTTGGAGCCGCTATTGCCCATGTATCAGCAGGGGCTGATGTACGGCAGCCCCGAAGTGCGAGAGGCAGCAGCGGCAGGAATTGGAGAACTCGTCGACGTCACTTCCTTGAAGTATCTGCAGCCGTTCCTGATCAAGATCACAGGGCCGCTGATTCGCATCGTAGGTGATCGGTTCCCGCCTGGGGTCAAAGCGGCCATTCTACAAACCCTCGGCTTGCTGCTTCGCAAAGGTGGCGCTAGCCTCAAGCCATTTGTCCCTCAGCTCCAAACCACCTTCGTTAAGGCGCTTGGGGACTCAAGCAGAGTCGTGAGGAAACAAGGGCGGGGTGCTCTGGGTCAGCTCATGGGATTGACTACTCGTGTCGATCCTCTAATTTCCGACTTGGCGTCGGGGGCGTCGTCTGCAGCTGAGGCAGCCATCAAGGAAACGATGCTTGAAGCGCTGGTAGAGGTTTTGGAACTTGCAGGCTCCAAAGCGTCTCCAGGTACCATCGAGCACGCCATCCAAGCTCTCGAGTTAATGCAGGACGAGAAGGACGAGACCGTACGAGGAGCCGCTGTGAGGGGCCTAGGTGCGTGCTCAGCATGTGCTGTGTTTTACATCCGCATGTCGCTCTGGCTGTGGCTCAGGCGAAACACCTGAACTCTTCGTGTGTATGTGTGTTTTCGTTGCATAATCTGGCTGCAGTTCAAACCTTCGATTGACGTATGAGCCGGGGTCACACAGGAGAAAGGTAGCACAGGGAAATTGTTTTTCATCCCGCCTGTCCCCCGCGATGCTTGCCTTCGATATTGAAGACAAGGGTGGTGTATATTATACCTCACGAACGTATCGCTTTCCTCCACAGGACTGCACTTAAGTTTCTCCCGAGAGAGATCGGACTCGCAAAACCTGTTGCTACAAACAATGGTGGTAACTTCAAAGTTACCCGCTAGGCCACCGGGGCGGACGTACTAGCACTAAAAAAAATGTGCAGCAGGCCTGCCCGGTAAGGTGGTCTGCTGAATGCAGTCGACTCACGGTTTGGGCGTACGTTCAGAACCTCTCGTAACTGCGAGTGGCACAGGGATCGTTTCCATGAAGTGAAGGACCAGCATGAACGTCAGGAGTGGTCTGATTGATAGAAGACGTTTTTTTTTGTGTCGGCAATGTATGCATACCATCGCACTACTCAAGCACTAACACCAGTGTCACCCTCCGTTCCGCGATAAATGTCAGGTTTGGCAAACAAGCTTGCGCAGAGATGAACCATCGCGAAGATGACCGCGATTTGGTGGCCTATCTGTCTGAGGTTACGCTGTGGCGTGTCGAGAGGGCATCGCATTGCAGCAAATTGGAACAAATAATCCTGGGAGCGAGTCGTTTGTTCACTGTTCTTGCGTAGGGAGGTAAATGATGGGCCATTGGCTGGGTAAGAAGTGCCCAAACAAAATCCCGACGCGGCGGACAACCGTGGCAGATTGTTTAACATAATTCAAGTGCGGACAACGGTGGCCACCAGCCCTTCTCAAGGCACACACTTTTTACTACTAGGCTGACGGCGACAGCTCCGAAAATATATGTTGCATGTGTAGTCGATGCAGAACGAACGCCACATGCAGGAAAAGGCAGAGCAGATACTACACACATCACATGTAGGGCAACTCGCATACGCGCCGTTTTTGTCCCTCGCATGCATTGTTGTTGTTGTTGTTGTTGTTGGTGTTGTTGTCTTTACATTAAAAACCGTTCCGATCTCTCTCTACACAGTACCTTCATATGTCCGTACTGATCCAACACTTGACGCGGTCGATTCCCGTGGTCACAGGCTAACTTACCCTAAAAAGGTACGCTCAAACAAACTGGCCCCGAGGGGTCCGCAAGTCAAAAGAGATCAACGAACAAATATTCTGGAGTCCTGCGCTCCCTTTGCGCGCTATGCGAGGTAACAACTGAGACTAGGAGTCATGCATACGCTGGTATGAAAAGGTTCCACGAGTCAAGTTGGACATACGTAGTTTGATTTCCATACTGACTGGACCACACGCGCGACTGACTGTGGACCACAACCAACCACTCTGAACTTCGATCTTGATGGAATTGACGGGAAAACGTGCAGGCATGCAGGCATCATACACATAGGGCGGCCGCCGTACCAGTGCACACGGTTAACAATACCAGATGGACACACACACCAACCACATCCAGGACAAGGCAGAGCAGATAGTACACACGCCACATGCAGGGAAACTCGCATGCTGCGCCGTTTTGTCCGTCGTGCGCTGGTATGAAAAGGTTCCACAAGTTAAACAGGAAATAAACAACACAGTTGGACATACGTTTGGTCTCCTTCCATCCATCGATGGTCCGGCATATTCCCCAGAATTGTTTTTGCCAAATATTCTTCCTATGGTGTGAGCCCACTCCCGACATCCCTAGTAACTTATAAAAAAATATAAGAACCGCCGTAGTCTACAATACCTTACACACGTCAGCATATTCTATGCGAGGAGTCAACGCCTTCCTCGCGTAACGATGCGCATCTCCCACGGCAAGCAAAATGAAGCGTCATCATGACGTTATTTCTTGTGACTACAAGTTCAAGTTCACCCGGGCGTTACTGTTCTTGCCGAGTGAAAGAGACTAAACTTCTACTACGTACCAGTCTCAGTCTGTGTACCTGGCTACTGCATGTGAGCTAGCGGGTGCTGCCCCTGCTGTTTGCTGCCGTACATGGAAAGCTTCCGGTGGGTCAGAGCGGCAAGGGTGCCTTGTTTCTTCACTTGTTTTTTAGCTCGGCTCTCCTCTACTTCTTTGTTTCCTGTCGCTGGCGGTCTCCCTTTTTTTTTTTCGCCCTTCAGTCTTGCTTGCAAGAAATTCGAAGATGTAAACTGGCTGTGTCTGACTGTTTCTTAGGGACCCCCGCCCACCCACAACCCACCTGTCGGTATGATTCATGGTCTCCAATATTTTCAGCAGTAGTTGTCTACTACAGGACATGCGTTACTAGTGCTGCGTCCATGGTTGGGTGCAACAAAAGAGCCCCGGGGACTGGTGACGTTCTGACCTGATCGCAAAAAGAGGTTCCTGCCACCACCACAATACGACTCTTATGAAATGTCCATGACGGGGAACGCGTACGACGCCTCTGGTTTTTTCCAGTGATGTCCATATAGAGCACCTCCATGAGAGACTTTTTTCTGCTGCGAAAAGGCTAGGCACAGGGGATGCCACTGCAGCAATTTCGGCCAATAGACCGGATCTTGCCAATTCGTTGGTTTGATGCAGAGCAGAGAGCGCACCCCACGCAAGCACGCGTAAAGCTTGCTGCCTGCACCAGCCGGCGCGCTGGGAGTGGGCTGTATAGTCTTGCTGGCCCTATTGTATTAGCCTTTGTCACACAAAGCTCCAAGCCATAAACGGTATTCTGAAGGAGTAACGAGCGTGGAATGTAGACGATCCTCTCCGAGAAATATCGCTGAAAACATACGGGAAAAGTCATCAAATTTCCTTCAAACAAGCATATCAAAAAGGAGCGAGCACGCTCCACGCCTGAGAGCGTTTATCAATGACTGCAGCCGTTATTCCCACGGTAGGGTGACTGCCAGAGATTGCCCTATACCATGCAGCCACCCTCAGACCGTTGATACGTGGTAGACATCAGCGTATGGGTCCATGGCCAGGCTCGTCTTCGTTTCTATTTGAACACAAAAATAGACATGTTTGCTGTTCACAGCAAGAATCACCCGCGCGGGTGTCAGAGGGGATGACACGCCAAGCAATCTCTGACCTCTCAGGTCAAGAATGAAGCTAAAACTTTCGGGGCTTTCCACTCTCTTCTTCCCCTCGCTGCCTCGGCAAGGTTTTGCTTAGGCATGACCCAAAGCGAGGGGGGGGGTCTTTCTAGCGAGCAGGGCTAGACTCACCCTCAAGGGACCGACCTTCTTGCTACGGCGCACCCGCCGCGAGGCGTGCGTAGTGGTGGAGTTGAGTCGGCACTGGTGCGTCAGGTACAAAGGTGCAGATGCGCGGGCCTCGAGGCCGTCGGTGCAGGCAGAAATGCCCATCTCATCTTGTGCGCGGAGGCAGACGCCATCAGAAAGGTGGACGGGCACTATGTACACGGCCCTATGTTTGCTAGAGGGAGCTGTACTGTCTCAGTAACCTGGTTTTGCCATCAAATGAGGAGGGGACAGGTGGTGACGAGCTGAATGGGCTGGTTGACCCTTCGCCGCGAGAATTTTCAGACCAAGAACCCTAAGTACAACGAGGGAGAAAGCGAGGAACCGACTGGGAAGGACAGCAACGAGAGCGTGTACGAAGCGGAGCGGGTCGAGTTTGGTCGTGCTAGGACTGGCCACAGCGACACCGGAGAAGCGACACCAGAGCAGCGGCACCGGAGCAGTAGCGGAACCGGAGCATGCGGACGGCATCGAACCGTGTCGCACGGACAAACATCTCTTGTGTTGTCAATTATTTTCCGTTTTTTCCTGAAAGTAGGTGTTAGGTATGTGTGATGACGTCACTGGTTTTGTAGAGAGACGCGGCAGAGATGGCGCGGATAACCCGGGTGCCTTAATTGTGTACCTGCATCGTGGAAGACCCCTTCAATGTGGAACTATTCCTAGTCAGTGTCGATGTTTACACTGCTGTGTCGAACACAGATGTTCTGGATAGATTCGGGCGATTGTCAATTGCAATGATGGCTTTGGTTGGTTGTTCTTCTTCATTGTATGTCCACGGACCCATTCTGACAGCACTTCAGACAGCAGCTGCATGCCCCGAGCTTGTTGTGCACCATACACCATGGTGTTATTTTTGTACAGACAGCACTTCAGACTGCAGTACGCTGTAGTCGACAAACATTCATTTTGGTGAAGTGCGGGACAAGGGGGGTGATGCCGCCTGCTGTGGTCGAATTGTAGTGTGTGGGCGAGTAGTTCAGTTGTGAGCACGCAAACGTGCTGCAGGGATTGTAGGTGTACCTCCTCGGGCTTGTGTACCCTTTTCTTGCTAATAGTGTGCGTGTTCTTTAGATTTTCTGATGGCTTTAGCATTTTTGTGACCATGGGCCGAGTCTTTGCTAGATTTTGGAATTAGCAACTGACACGAGTTTAATGTGAAGAAAAACAACAACAACAACAACCTCTGATAGAGGTTCCGTGTGTGGCTGTGTCGTTTGGTTACCTGGTGACTTTATCGCTACGTTTCACGCTGCATCTACAACCGCCGGGGGGAGAGAGCGGGGATGGACGACCATGCTGTACAACGAACCGTATTTCCGCAAGAATCATTTTTTCTCGTCAAGTTTTGTCCTTTTCTCGCCGTCGCTCACTCTCTTTTTGCTCCTTGAAACCCTGATTCATGATGTCTCGCGACATGTAAAGCAAGCTCACCCAGGCAGAGTTCAATGAGTAAGGGTGGCAGCCTTCAAGGTTCTACGATCATGTGGGACACAAGAGGCCAAAACACACTGCCTATTACTCCCACTCAAAATTCGTCGGAGATTTGCCACTTGATTGTTTCACATAGAAAACAAAGACAAAATGATGTTTTCTTTGAATTTGCCGTGAATCAAACCGACAGCAGACCTTTCTATCACCTTTGGGCGAGATACGAGCAGCGGATCTGAGAGTTAATCACCACACTGGGTAGCATGGGTCTATGCGCTCATCATGCACGCGTCGCTGCACGTGTCGCTGCACACGGGAGCCTAGCTGCTTGCAAACGCAGCAGTAGCTGGTGTGCCATGCTGCCATTATCGACTGTCTGACGTACTGCCAGGAAGACTCGGTCCATTGGTGCTTGCTTTTCCGATAGAAAATGAGCAAGCAAAGCCCTGCTCCTGATGTCGGGCTTGCTCGTTTCACAAGTACGTTAGGTACGGGATAAAACAAAGTGCCCAAGCGTTTCTACGGACGGAAATTGAACGCAGCAGTTGGGAGCCAGCACGTCTTGCCTGTAATATTGACCCAAGAGGTAAGAACTCGAGTGCAATGCATTCTCGTTGTGGGTGTTTTTTTAGACCGGATCACCGACCTGAATTGAACAGCGAGACGCAAAAACTAGCTCCTGTGGCCCAAAGGCCACGCCGTAGCGCCATACCGATCTATTCCTTACGGGCATAGGGTTGTTCGGAACCTCTTGGTCTCTCGAAACGTTTGAGTATTACGGCAACAGTTGTACCTTGAAGCACCCGGGGCGGGCGCCTGACCGTTCCTTTTGGCTTGTTTGAATGCATGTTCGACAATTTTTTTTTTGTATTCACCCGCGATGTTTCCCTCCTACATTCCACGCTCGTTACTCCTTCAGAATACCGTTTATGGCTTGGAGCTTTGTGCGACAAGGCTACTAAATAGGGCCAGCAAGACTATACAGCCCACTCCCAGCGTGCCGGCTGGTGCAGGCAGCAAGCTTTACGCGTGCTTGTGTGGGGTGCGCAATCTGCTTTGCATCAAACCAACGAATTGGCAAGATCCGGCCTATTGGCCGAAATTGCTGCAGTGGCATCCCCTGTGCCTAGCCTTTTCGCAGCAGAAAAAAGTCTC